AATATTGAAATCATTCCTGTAAACAGTGTACACGTCCTGTTGTTGGCTCTGCTTCAGATCTTTCTTCACATTTGGCTAAGTTGAAGTAATAAATTGCTGAAAAACTGGAAGACACTCTGGAAGCAGATTAATCATCTGACTCAGTATTGTCTTTTAGTTTGCCACAAGAAATCTTTCCAATCTATGAGATCATGGATTAGCTGGTTGAAAAATTTTAAAGAGAGGCATGAAGAACATTCCCTTTTTTGCTGCCTTCTCTTTGAAACCTGCAGAATCTCAGCAAAGCATAAATGACAGATGACTCTTCTTTCCGAGCTTTACCACAAATATGTATTACGATGAAAAATGGCATCTGAATTGATACCTCCTCGTTTTATCTAATTTTGGACATTGTAGGTGGCATTTATCTCATGAGATGTAGCTTTACACGTTTGAGACAGTGATTTAGACTTGCATTATAATCCATGAAAAGAAATGGACACTTGTAGAATGTGATTCACTTCAGATTTCTGAAAACAGGTTGCATAAATTTCACTTTAAAAGTACTTTTTCTTCGTATTCATGAAAAAAGTGGCAATGATTAATTCTAACATGCTATCGATGCTACAGTGTAGGTGATACGATGTCTGTTCTGTCTGTCCATGGGCAAAAACAGTGGTAGTGACTGATAAGTAGATTTAATGCTTGAAGGCGGATTGTTCCGATTTGTAGTCTTCTTCATATGCCTTTCAGGATGGTGAACATATGTGGGTTTTTTGACAGCTAGATTGCAAAGAGGCCAGCAAATCTAAGTATATTGACACTGTTAAAGAGTTGTTAATGTTATTGAGTTTATTGTCACAAAAAGCAGCATGTGTTGTCATAATGGAATTCTTATTATATTGTAAAGCTGTGCAATAATGGTTATGTATTATTACTTCAAATTTCTGTTTATATAGATTTCTTTTAAAAGCATGCTTTTTATTTCCTTGGATTTACCTGAAGTGTTTGAGAATCTTTACATCATTACTGTAAAGTGCTTTTCTCTCAGTTACGGTAACTGTACAACCGAAGCACACTTGTAACCCAGCTGCTGTGCAAGTGCACGTGTGGATCCTGCGAGGAAAAATGTAGCCCCAGGCTGGACCACCCCGAGGCACAACACTCGGTGGCTTCTTCCATACCCCTGTGCTCCGCTCTCAGCCCCTCTGCATGAGTTCCTACAGGATGTGCTTCATCCATGAGAAAACATGAAATCAAGTGCTGTAATATGTATAGGCACTTCAAATTTAATATTAGCTTGGGAACAATAATAAGAAGATAGCTCTTATTGGAGACCAAATTGCATTACAAACATGGGCTAAAAGTTTCCTTGCGAATGTTCTTTGCTGTGAGGATGAGCTGTATATTGCAGAGGCAAATCACAAATTAGGCTAACAATATAGCTTTTGCTCTTGTGGGCAGAGTAGATGACATCTGTTGTGACTTTTTTTTTTTTGTTATTTGTTTAGTTTATATCATTATTTTTTTTTTGATACCATACCACTTTGCTTATTTGTATGTGTTGAAGTTGCAACTTTATTGCTCAACATACTCAGATGTAATGAGCTCAACGGCAAGAACATTCCATCCTCTACTTGCACAACAAACAGGTTATGCTTATTTTATAATTGAACCCTGCATTCTCAAGAAAACACAGTTTTGTTACATTCTGTGTGTTTTTTCTAGCTTACTTGTATATGCATGCAAAGGGGAGGCAAGGCAAGTGTGACTTGACTTTTAAGAAATTTTGTCTTCATTTGCAAGTGTCATGGTTTGACTCCAGCTGACAATCAGCCCCAACCAGCCACTCGCTCACTCCCTCCTGGTGGGATGGGGGAGAGAATTGGAAGAGTAGAAGTGAGAAAACTCATCGGTTGAGAATAAAGACAGTTTATTAGGTAAAGCAAAAGCTGCACACACAAGCAAAGCAGAACAAGGAATTAATTCCCTGCTTCCCATTGGCAGGCGGGTGTTCAGCCATCTCCAGGAAAGCAGGGCTCCATCGCATGTAACTGTTGCTTGGGAAGGCAAACACCATAACTCTGAATGTCCCCCCCGTTCCTTCTTCTTCCCCCAGCTTTATACACTGAGCATGACATCATATGGTATGGAATATCCCTTTGGTCAGTTGGGATCCGCTGTCCCAGCTGTGTCCCCTCCCAGCTTCCTGTGCACCCCCAGCCCACTCGCTGGTGGGGTGAGGAGCAGAAAAGGCCTTGACTCTGTGCGAGCACTGCTCAGCAGGAAAACACTCCTGTACTGTCAACACTGTTTCCAGCACAAATCCAAAACATAGCCCCGTACCAGTTACTGTGAAGAAAACTAACTCTATACCTGCCAAAACCAGCACAGCAATATTAATAAAATTTATAACAACATTCAGTCTTTTCTGCATCCCTGGAAGGGGACTGCATCCAGCAAGGTAACCACTGCAAAAAAGCAAATTGAAGGTTGGAGCACGGATAAGGGTTATGTTCACAGGGACCAGGAAGAACTGTGATGGAGGAAGGCACAGACGCACTGTGTCCAGAGGAAGGGTTTGCTGGTGCTTGTTGGTCAGCAAGGATGTGAGGGGAAGAGTCACAGTGACAGCTGGGAGGAGGGGAATAAGAAAGCACGCTGTACATCTTTGTTGTTATTAGTGGAAGTGATTTCTTATGGGACTGTAAATAAACCAGTGCCGCTGTTTTACTACTTGAAGATTTATGTTTGGGCAAAATTACTGTTTCTACACACTTAAAAATTAGTGAAATTGATACTTTGATGAGGATGCTTTCTTTTGTAACAAAGGCTAGATCATTTTAACACCAACTGGTTTCTCCCTGGGTTTCCCTCTCTGCCCTGAATTTGGGAATTGGCTATTTCTCGTTGACTGAATCAGAAGATAACTATGCCATGTCGTATTGAGTTTGGCAGAATGGCTGAAGTTTGGATTTGGCTTGTATTGGTTAAATCAAGCTTTTAATTTGGTTGCCTATTGTCCAGTATGCTAATCCATGTTATTTCCAGCTGAGTTAAAGTGTAAAGTCATTAGAGCAGCGTGGGCCTTTTGTTTGTACAAGGAAAGGTTAAATTCTGCAGGCAGCTCAAACTGCTGCCAGCATGGCTGCTAATCTGAGTTTGGGGATTAATTACCTGTAACAGCTGCAGGACAGAGTCCTGTGCTGAGCAGAAGTCTGATTAGGCCAAAGTTTGGAAAGCTTTGTCATGGAGAAAGTTTTTCAGCATTTTTCAGAAACTTCTGGTTTAGTTTGTTCCAAACTGGGTATTTACATTACCACTATGTTCAGCCTAATAGTATCCTAATGTTGGTGTTTTAATATGCTCTGAAAAACCTATAACATAATTAACAAGTGATTTAAACTCTGTTAGCCTGTAGCTATTTATGGACTGACAATATTTGTTATAGTCTTTGTTTCTGAGTTGTTTCTAATTCAGTTTTTGGTAACCGCAGATAGCTCTTGGGGGTGGGAGGAGTAAGGAAGCCAAAATGCAGCTTATTAACAGATTTAAAAACCAATTTGTATTGGGGTGTTTTGGAGATGAATAGATTTTTTTTTAGTGCAATTTTTCCCCAGACCCTTCTGATTAAAAGTTTGTATGTATTAACATTTTTGGCCATGCTTTTAAATGCACTCAGAAGTTGCTGTTTTCCTTTTTGAAACACTTTGTTTTAAAATAAACACTACTTATTATTAAGCACAAGCCATTTAACTTTAATTTTGTGCCCTTATACAGAAGAAGTGGAAAACTCTGGTTTGGAATGGAGGAAAATTAAGTACACAAGAAATGAAAACAAATACCAGCTTCTTCACAAAGAGAGAGCAGCTTTAACAGAAGAAATATGTGTTGTGGACTCATGTTAGGAATGAGGGAGAAGTCAATTATGATTGTAGATATTAGCATAATATCAATTTTTGCTAAAGTATAACTTACTGAGTCTTCAAATGAAAGCTATAATCCAATCATCACTTGACTAACATTACTTAAAATGATCCAGTAAGTTAATACACAACTTTTTTTTTTAGGTTTTAAATCCACCTAGTTAAATAAAACCTTGCAATTATTGTTATAAACCACACTATTTTTTTCCCTAGTAGATACTGACCTTGACATCTTTCACATTGCCTTTGTTTTTCTTCTTCTTTTTCCTAACTTAATATTGTAAAAAATTACAGTGTTTCTGTGTGATAGGAACTGGAGTGGAATGAAAGCGCTCATTTAGGAAAAATATTTGGATTGCTAGTTTTGGGTTGAAAGAATGTGTAGTCCTCATTAGGGAGTTGCAGGCTTTAAGCTCCTGTGGGTTATTTCCAAATAATGGGTGAATTGTATGCAAAGTAATGACCCTTTTAAGAATTTGCAGGCTAAGAGTACAATTACTGAGTAATTCTGAATTTATTTAATGTTTCTATTTCAGTCAGAGGGAATGTTCTCGTAAAGCTGCTGGTATAAATTAGGAGTTAGCAGATGGGGTTAATATCTGTTCTCCAGTCTGTGGATGATAACTTTTAAAAAGTGTAAGCCTGTCTGTTGCTTGTATATGTCTAATGTATACATTCTGTCACATATGTGAGAAAGAAAAATCTGGAAGGGTGTGTAGCATATCAGGAAGTATAGCTCTGTACCTGAATGCCTGCCAGTGCCAGAATGTTGTGTTGAACAGAACAGTGAAGGGTGATGGTTGATTGCTCCAGTTCAGACATGTAGATGATTGATAGTGGGGCCCAATTAACACTAAGTAGCCCTGAAGCCAACCTCGTTAGCACATCTTACTTAAGTACTCGTCTTATTTATTTCCATCTCTTCCTTTTGGTCGCGTATAAAACTTTCTTCCTCAAGAGGGCATTAGGTCCGTGAAAAACCTTGTTTTTACCTGCAGCCAGTTATATCAGGTGTTCCTTGATGGTTATACATTGTTGATAATGCATCTTTTTCTGCTCTTTTACTTAGATGACAGTGCCTCTGCTGCAAGCAGTATGGAGGTAACGGATCGCATTGCCTCTCTGGAGCAACGTGTCCAGATGCAGGAAGATGACATCCAGCTGCTTAAATCTGCACTTGCTGATGTGGTTCGACGCTTGAATATTACAGAGGAACAGCAGGCCATGCAGAACAAGAAAGGACCTACCAAAGGTTTGCATTTCAGATATATCTAAGAGAGGTAGTACAATTCAATGAGCATCTTATATGTATTAAAGTAGGGTATTCTTTACATCTTTGAAATGCTCAGAATCAGCATATCAAACTAAAAAAAATTTTTTTCTTAAAATTTAATCTGCTAAAGAGAACACATAAAAATACAAGTGGTTAAATCTGTGAGTCTTCTGAAGTTCCCATGAACCAGCAAAACAAAAACCATGGCTAATGCTTCCTGACTGTTGACCAAGATTATCTTATAAACTCTTTGTGTAATGTATTATCTTTTATAGGAGAAACTCTGACTTTTTTTTTCTGATAGAAAACATTAAATAAATTTAAGTAAAATGTAATTTTCCTTTAATTAAAAATGTCTTAAGTGTCTTTGGATGGTGCAGGCATAGCCAAAGACAGCTCTGAGCTAGCACAGAGGTGACATGACTGAGGAGGTGGTGCAACACCAGCTGCTCAGGTGTGAAGGAAAGGTAGAGCTGTAGTTGGTGCCTGACCCCGTTAAGTGCAACAGATCCAGAACCAGCGAGGTGGCAGATGTTGCCTTTCAGCCGTATGCTGTGCTGTGCCTGTGTGCCACAGCACACTCTCTCTTGGTTCCTCCTCTCCAAGAATGGGTTTGTCTGTACACATATCAGAAAAGCTAGAGTTGAACATCCAGTGCTTTGCAGTAGTAAAGATTTATTAGAACCCAGCTGGTGTGTTTTACTGTAATCTGTGAGGCTGCAGAAACCTGGGAGGCTGGCCATCTGCAGTTTAGCAAAAATGCATGAGGTATTTTTGGGTAGTCTTAGGAGTAAGAGTGGTGGCAACCTAGACGTGGGAAGAAAGTATCACTGACTTTACAAGCTCTCTGTTGTCTCAATTAAGAAATTGTTTCTTTTGGGAACCTGATATGTATTAATATAAACTAAAAACTTAATTCACATCAGAAATCTTATATGTCGTTATGGATTAATAATATTCTCATGTGGAAATTAGGACTTGTTTAATCTCAGTCATATATTTGTAACTTTGCGACAGATAGTTACTTTTAGCCATTGATTTAGCAGAATAGGTAAGGAACTAAGTTAATTTGCTGAACTGAGACATCGTGTTTGTTATAATGTTTTGTGTCTGGAAATGAGGAAAGCAGAAAGGGACAGAATTACAGAGCCAGATTAGTTGATCATGTATCGTGCTAGTTGTTGGGCAGAATATGTAGTGAATGTCTGTGATCTTGTTTTCGTGTTCTTCTCCTCATTTTGTCTTTGTCCGTTTGATTGCAAAAAAAAAATATAAATTAAAATGCCAGATACTGTTCTTCTCCTCATTTTGTCTTTGTCTGTTTGATTGCAAAAAAAAATATAAATTAAAATGCCAGATAAGTTGAATGCTACTAAACATAACCTCTACTGTGATAAAATGTTTTGCCGAATCTGGCTGTACAAGGGATTAAGAGGCTTTATGTTGCCTATAAAATAGATATTATCTGCTGTGTAGAGGAAATATAGTAATTATTACTGAGTTGTAACCAAATCAGTTCTTCTTGCCTGCTGGCTTTACTTAGCAAAATACAAAACAGATTTTCGTGGATTCTGTGAGCAGAGTTGAACTCTAAATCAGGAGACATTTTCTTGGTGGTGGCAGATCGTTAAAGCCATAGTTCAATGTACATTGAACTATAGCTGCTGTAAGTCTATTTTTCTGCCTTCTATGGCTGGTTTTTGGTTTGTTTGGTGGTTTTGTGTTGGTTTTTTTTTCCTTCCCTAAATGTGCATATGGCATGGATACTTCATAATATGTGTTTGAAATGACAGTGTAAGAAGTTTTTTACTGTGATAATGCAAATGGGGGACTACAAGGCAAATTGTTCATCCATGACAAGTTACTGAAATGAGTTCTGATAATTGCCAAGTAAATTCAACTAATTTATTGAAATAATTGCTACTGTAACAATTTATGTGAAGAATTTTTACTGTATATCAGTTGTATTATTAGTGCATGGTCAGCCCTATTAAATGTATTGTGTAACAGAAAACAGAATCTGAAGTAATCCTGATTGTTTCTTCCACCTGTTTTGTCAAATATGAGACATTTCACATGGTGGCCTGTTTTTCCTGTAGTAGGCACAACTGCTTTATAAGAGATTGCATGCAGTTAGCATAAGACAAAATTGAATTTCAGTGTTGGAATAGCATTACAGAGGCTCCTGATGGAGACTCAGAAGGGTTTTGCTTAGACACAGATGAAACTGGAGAGGTGGCTTCTCATGTTTTGCCACTTGGGCTGCATGGGACTTGATCCGTTTTCTTTCCATTGATTGTTTAATGAGTAATTCCACATTCAGAATTGTAAAAAGTGGAATTTGAGCTTGCAAAGTGTCACAAAAATCTCATCCATGTGAACTTGGTTTGAAGCATGTTGTATGCTGCTTCTTCCATTTGATCTGTAGATAGAGTAGATTAGGATTAAAAGCACATGTGTGTTGGGAGGAGGTTCATGCCTTTGGAAAACGGGATCACTGTGTGCTGTTTGACTCTGGAACAAGAAGCTTCGTGGGACAGAAGACAAGATTTTCTGAGTACTTCAGATTTAAAATTGGTTTAAAGATTTCAAGTTTCAGGCTTTCCAACCTGTAATGGAAAAAATCTTGAGCTTGTTTTCGGTCTTTGTGTGTGTTCTTGTTTAAGACTTGAGGTAGGCAGTTTAAAAGCAGTGTACATCACAAAAAATGAGCTGCTTATCTTGTCCATTTGTGGAGCTCCTTCCCTAATAGTGTTTTGGGTTTTTGTTTGGGTCCTGCCCCCACCCCCCCTTCCTTATTTAATTTAGCTGCTTGGTGGAGTTCAGTATGGCTTCCTGCCTTTGTTTTACTTGTGTTTGTTGTTCTTTCCTTTTGCAATTATTGGTTTGTTTGTAAACTTAACAGCCCTATTAATCCATAGATCAGAGTATGATTAAAAAAGCTGCTGCTGAGGCTGATAAACATGTCAGTCCTGCTGCCACAGGTAAGAACTTGAAGCAACAAAACTTCCAAAATTAAACATTACTGACAAAGCAATAATAGCAATGTGTTTGAGTTACTGACTTCTAACAGCAATGACATGTTTGGGGTTATTTGACTGTTATGTCAGTTACACTGATGTGAAATAGCTCTTGTAAATAAAACTAAATAGCTCCAGAGTAAATAGTGGATTAATTGAATAATGTGTAGCTTTTCTGTGTGCTGTGTAAGAGTTTCGTGGTGTTGCTTTTTACACTAGCTGACTATGGGGACAGATCTTTAAATCTCCAGCTTCAGAAGTGTGCTCTGGATTGGCATTGGATTTGAAGCAAAACCTCTGTTAAAGGTTGCAGAGTTTATTCCTAGCTGCTGCTAGTTTCAATTTCATCAGTTCAGGAGGGTAAAGCTAATTCCCTCCAGCTACTTTTTAATAGACATTTTTATAGAACTATAAAGAAGGAAAATATATTCTTAATTTGTTTATTTAACTTTAATTGTTGTTCTAATTTATGATCTCAAAGCCTCATTAAAGTTTTGTGAGCTACAGAAATCTTGTCAGGAGACAAGCCTACAGCTGCTCAACTCTAGCTATCTGTGCTTCTGTAATATGCAACAGAATCAGTTTTATATGTACAGATTAATTACGGCATTGCAGCATTTAGGAAACAAGCAGTAAAGCATCCAGCATGAAACTGTAGAAGGAATTTAATTGGAAGAATGAATACTGTAGAAGTATAGGATCATCATATATGAATCTCTTAAAAAAAAAACAAAAAACAAAACTATGAGAAGCCAAAGTACAGTAAGTTTTAGGTGTTTTGTGTAAGATCTAAAGACAGCATTAGTCTGTTAAGATAGATCATGGAAGCTTCTTTTTTTTCTTTGTTGTTTTCATATCATGTTTCTGTCTTCTAAACCCAATGAGCCTCATTCCTTAAATATTTCCTTGTGAGTTGTTTTCTAAATTTGTCACCTCTGATCAAATAAGTGACGAATACGTGACATAGTATATATACCTATACATATATATATATAATGTATACATGAGTATATATTTTAACAAAGTTTGAAGACCAAGTTTCTCTTGAAACTTGCATTCCTGAGTAGACCATATTTACTGATCTAATCTTCCCAAGGCACAGGCTCTCACATTTATCTTCTGTTGTTCAGTATATGAAAACTTCAGGTGAACTGGTCAATAAATGCTTGCCATCAGTGCTACAATAAGGTGTTTTCATAGTATAACCTAGGACTGTATAAAATTTTTAATTTTTAGATTTTTAAAAATTTTTGCTTTTTAGATTGTTTATCTTCGGCGGTCTCTTTTTTGAAGAACAGAAAATATGTTCTCCCAAGTTCAGTGAAATTTTCTTAAGTCACTTGTGAATTGTGACTGCTGCTTTCTCTCGGGTGTTGTTTCTCTGAACCCAGAGACTTTTGGCATCTTTACAAAGCCAGCTCGTAATACGAAGTTCTGTCAAATTTCAAGTGATGTACACAGCTTTCTTCCCTGCTGTAGGGAGAGCACCAGTTGTGTTTGTATCTGTGTTTCAGGGTATGGTCCACTGTTGTTTTCATGTTTGTACTCATTGCTTGCAGTTTTAACCAGTGTTTTTGCAACTAATTTCTAACGTACTTAAATGGAACTTTTTTTGTTATTCTGATATTAATTACAGGTATGACATGTATATCAATTTTTGAACCAACATTTGATCAGAAGAGTGTAGGTAGACAATGTCAGCTCATTAAGTCCACTGTTTTGCTGATTTCAATCATTTTTTTCTGACTAAGGGGTGAAATTCCTTTTTGTCAAACATAAGCCTACATTCTTTAAAAGAAGGGATTTTTGGGGAGAGTAATGATTTCTTAATAGATCATTTGCTTGTGGAAAACCTGCAAGAACATTGAGGGGTAAAGAACAGGGGTTTCTGGGGTGGCAACCTGTCTTCATTTCTAGCACTCCTCCGAATGCTATCCCAGTAGGCAAGAGACAGATGCTCTTTTAAGAGAGCAGGAAGGGTGGCAGCGACTACATTTGCGCTTGCCAGTAACCTCCTTGAGCTAGGACAGAGTTTTACAGTTGAGAGACATTATAGAATTGTGTGCTTAAGCCATATGCGGATGAATTGCTTGATGTGATTGTAGATGGAAAAAAAAATCCTCCTTTTTAAATCCCTCATCTATGGTGAATTTGGCAATAGTGAAATAAAAATGGCATACTGCATAGATATTTTTACATTTTTTTAGTGGTGTTTGCTGGGGGAAAAAAAAGAAAATGAAAACAATGATTTTATTTTCTTGTTAAAACAGCAAGACCGCTGGTACAAACCCTGCCTTTAAGGACTACTGTTAATAATGGAACTGTGTTACCAAAGAAACCAAGTGGCTCTTTACCTTCCCCATCAGGAACCAGAAAGGAGACTGTATCACCAGCAGCAAAAAGGTATGTGCATCTATCAGAAACCTTGTAATTGTGAAATTTAAAACATGGTATATCTCCTCTTTTAAGCTTCTAGGTGCATAGTTTTTCTTACTTGCGAGGCAACAGTCTAAATATTGAGTTCGGAAAGAAAAGGAGAGATGGATTTAATTCTAAGAGGCTTTAAACTTATTTGGCCTAATTAGAATTAGGGTTATTGCCATGAATATTGAAAGCATGCACAGTGCTTGCTCTACTGGTTTGTGTTCTTTTCTTGCTACTACAGTCCAGCAAATAGAGAATAAAGCATGAAAAGTGCAAAAATTCTTTTAGTAGCTAGTAGAAAATACCTAGTCTGTAGAGAAACTGTGTTATCATTACAAATCAATGTTACCTTTGATGATTTTGTCTCACTAAAAATTATCATAGAAACTGCATGTGCAATGTTAAAAGCATCTCAGGGAGTAGGAAAATTCTATACCTAGCACATATTTATGCAAATGAAACATCCATCTTTAGATACCTTACCATTAGCATCTATTTAAGTCTTTTTAAAAATTACTGCTCTATCTCATTTTGCTTCCTGTGTGTGTAGTTGTTTTTGAGTGGGCTACGTGTTTTATACATCTAGGTTATAAGGAACGCAAGGGATTGGGTGCAGCAAGTTCCAGTTACATGTGATGGTTATTGTGGTGCTAATCTGCTGTATGGTTTCCCTGTAAAACATAATAGTATGGGTTTGGTTGGTTTTTTTTCCATTTCTTTTGTTGTGTGTCATCCTCAGCTTTTTGTAGTGATGATGCTGTCAGTGCACAGGAGGGCAAGTTGTAGAGATGAGAGTGTTAACTTGCTAAGATCTGAGGTCTCTTTTGTAAAGAGAATTTCTCCTTAAAGGGGAGGTGGTGACTAAGGATATGCCTCTCTTTGTTACTGTGTTGAAGGGGACAGATTTTCCAGGCAACTCCACATTTTGTTACTGTAGAGAAATGAGGAGCTATGCTATGCACAATTACATTGGAAAATACCATTTTTGTGTTGCAGAAATGAATTCCTGTGAGCTCCCGTGAACTGGAGCTCACTGCAGTTGCAGGTTTTGTCAGGTTGTTCTGAATCAGCTCCTAAGATAAGCAGAGGATGGCAAATACTGTTTAAACTGTTCCATTATCAGAATTATGTTATCAGAATTTTGAAAATGAGTGGAAGAACCTGCCTTTTAAAAAAAGAAAATTTATTGGTGTGTAAAAAGGGGTACTATTTTCTATATGCTGAATTTTTAAATAAATTTTGTTCTTCACAAATTATGTTTTCTTAATAATTCTCATAATTTCATTCTCACTAATAAAGTTTCAAGTAGTAACTAAAAAATGCATGAGAGAGCACAAGCATTGGCACACTTCACTTGTGTACAGAAGGTCTGATTCCTGAGTCTCTACACTCCATCTCTAAGGTTCAGCATACGACTTTCTGCCCCAGAGTAGGGTAGATGAAATGTGGGTCAAGATCATACTCGCGCTTTCTGAGACTCCTTTGAGTAATTCAGCCTGTAAGCATTATCCTAGCTCAGGATCCCTGTAGGTAAGTGGCACCCTGCAGCCATTCCACCTGATCAGAGTGCCAGTGGGAAAGTCCTTACGGAGCATTTTTTTAATGTCTATGATTCCTGTATGAGAAAGTTTTCCACAGGATAAGGATTTAATGTCTTTCTATTATGCTTTATCCCCTCTCTTTACTGAAGACACCGGACTGGATGTGCTTTGAATATGCAGTATGAAAATGTATATCCAGTTTTGGAAATAAAAAATACACATGGGCAGTTTTGCTGAAATAGGTCGACACTTTTAAAGAGTGCTTAGGAGGGCAAGGTTATTCTGTGTACTGAAAGAAGCAGTTTCAAGTCCAGGTGCTTTGGAATTCCTATTCCCTTCAAATGCTCTATAGTTCTGTATTGATCATATTTAATATGCAAATTTATTTTTTTATTAAATTAAATCTATTTCTATGCTTTGCCTATAAGTATACTTCAGCATGAAGAGTGTGGAATGGTAGGGACCTCACCAATGAATTACAAAACTTATTTTGGTCAATTAGTCTCTACTTTTAGTAGTTTTTGATAATGAATCTTAAACTGCTGAGATTGAATGTTTTTGTAGTAAATTGTGCTCCAAATATTCAATATTTAAGGATGATGTATTAAGTGTTCCAAGTAACTTACTTGCAAATAGTCAAGGAGATTAATTCATTATGAACTCATAAATATTAATTCATTCATACTTTGTATTTATAATGGATCCTTTTACATTCAGTAGCTGTATATATGCGTGCATAAAACAGTAATGGAAATATAGCAGCAAGATCAAATAGCTTTTCTTTTTTAAAGGAGTAGGACATGTATTTGTGGTAAGAAGCTTCACTCAGTGTTGAACAGTTTACAGATGATGTGTAATTCTTAATAATTTTTTTAGTTCTGATTTTACTTATGGCTTTATAGTGCTCTTTTCATATACACTGATTCTAAAACTGATACTACTTTGAAGTGTAGGTATTCTTTAGTCCAAAATATGGTAATTTGGCATAGCAGTTCTAAATAGAACTGTTAATTTCAGCTTGGATACTTCTAATACTTTTTCTAGTGCATAACTGAAAAATCTGTTTTTGTTTTTTTTTCAAAATGTGAAAAAGTAAAATTTGAAAAGTGAAAGAAAAGTGGAAAAAAAAAGGAAAGGAAAATATGTATTTTTTCTGAGTCTTCTTTTAAGCTGTTGGTCTGCTGTTGTGAATTGCTAGTATCTACTAGGATTACTGTATTAGAAAAATATAATATTCATTTTTTTTCCTACCTATGGCCTTACCTTCAAAAAAGACAAACGTCCAGGTTAATCACATTCCTCCCAGGTGTTTTGCTGAACAAAGTTATGGAGAGGGGCATAACAAAAAAATAACTTCTGATTCTTCTACTCTCTGCTACTTCCACAGTTTAGGTTAGGAAGTGTATGATACCCAATTGAAATTACATCAGTCTGTCCCTTGAAAAACAGTATGTCATGCATATTTATATAAATACATGCAAATAATCTCTGTGAGGACCAAGCGTGCATCCATACATTCCACTGCTTAGATAGAGATGTACTTATTGACATGTCTGCAGACACAATCCCATTTCATACAATAGCTGTATTTAAATGTGTTGGTTAACTCATTTGAACTCACAGGCTTATCTGCCTTGCTGGATTACCAAGGAGATGTGGTTCAAAGTTCACTACATTTTCTGATTTCCCATTTAATATTTGAAATGGAAATTACTTCTTCTGGCAGGAATATAAAACTGGAGGTAATAAAAAAGGCTAGGGACTGAAGGGGTGGAACTAGCAGGCTTTTGTTTGAGTTCTGCCACATATTCTCTCAATGACCTTATGCAAATCATTTAACCTCAGCACATATTGGTTTTCCATATGTAAAACATGTATCTGTGGATATCAGTAGGTTGTTATAGGGCCTAATGTGATAATTAGATCCAGATCTTGCAAAGTGTTCAGTAACCTCAGCTGACTCTCACTTCAATTAGAGTTGAGGGCACCAAACCCCCTTCAGCATTTACATCTTATATAGTCAACACGCAATTATCCAAATTAAGGAATGGAATGACATAATCTGAATGGAGCAAAAGCGCAAATACAAAACATAGGTGAATCAGATTATAAAAGTATATAGTAATAATGCAATACAAGATAGAAAGCCTGGTGATACTGGAAGGAAAAACTCTGGTCCAGCATCAACAGGCGCTGCTGCGCTCAGGTGATGGGGTGCCATGCGAACACAGCTGGACGGCTTCCAGCTGCAAGCCAGCTAGTGCAGAGCTGAAGTAATTTTGCAATGGGCTGGATAATCACCTGACACAGATAATCAAGAATTGCCTGCCTTTTTAAAGTGCTTCAGTGGCGTCTTTGCAAAAAGCCTTTGGTCAGAGTGTTTGATTTTAAATTTAATATATTTACTAGTTTTATGCTGTAGAAGTGTAGAAGCTATTTCAAGCACCAGCTTTTCGGACACTGTCATATTTTTGTTCTGAACTTTGTGTATAGAATAATTGTTTGAAATTTTAATTCAGAATAAGATGAGTTTAATTCATTGTGAGCAGATCTTTCCCTTACCCCTGCACTCTTCCTTTCAGATGTAATGTGGTCTGAAGTTTCCTGCTTAACACTAAATTTGTCTTTGGAATTTGGCCAGTGCACAGTAGTAATGTTTTGTGTTCCCTATTAAAATCTAGGGTTTTGTGGCTCATCTAGGATAGCTTTGTTTCCAAGAGTTGAGGGGGAAAAAGGAAAAAAAAATGTGAGGGAGGGGAATGCAGACAGTACCTTTCCCAGCAGGGATGCTGCTGCAGGCTGCCGGCTAGCACATACTTTGCCTTTCAAAGGGAGACAATCAGTCATTCTTTCTCCCCCAGCAGATTGTGAAGTATTACAATGGTGCAAAACTCTGACAATGGAGATCAAAAGGAAGAAGCTGGAACAAAGAAAACATAAAGAGCTTTGTTTGCAGGGAGAATAAAATACTTTAATATAATAAATTCCTGTTCTTCTAAACACATGGCCCCTAGGAAATTGTTCAGTCGCCTGGAATTAATGTTCTGCATTCTGTTCTGGGGGCAGCAATGGTTTGTAACTGGCACACACACAAACTCTGTATCAAACCTTCAATTAAGTCTTCTACTTAACACTTGGCTCTCAAAATGTTTTAAAATAAACCTAATAGAAATTAAAAAAGAAATGCCTCTCCATTGCACTTCGAGTGGCAAAACTGTTATACCACTTCATTATTATCTCTAACAATTAACGTTATTGCTGCACTTTGCTTAAAGGCATAATGAAACTAAAGTCATATGTTATTCTTGAATTTATTCTAATTGATTTAAATGAGGGTCAGAAAGAGTGCTAGACAAGTTTCAAATTATTATTAATATTATCAGTTACTGTCTAAGAGCATTGTGTGCTATTTTAAAATTTATTTTATTAAGAAGCTTTTCTTTTCCCCCCCAAATTTTGATAATTAAATAGATGTATTTTCTAATTTTATCCAGATTTGTTTATCACAATTCAGTAATGCAACCATCTGAAACATTCATGCTATGCAGTGGTATATGTATGTATATATAAGAACTTATTTTCTTGTCTTTATTGTTGCATTTTTAATAGTCTTTGTCTTCTAGCTGGATCATCTGTCTTGTTTCTTTAGATAGGCTCTCTGATTTTCTCTTTTTTTTTTTTGAGTTGCTTTAGAAATGGTCAGTGTATTGGAGCATTGCTGAGATTTTGTCATTCAAAGATACATTGATGTTCTTAAATGTATGGTTTGAAATGAACAAACATCTAACTGAGCCTATAAGCACTATGTTGTTTACTCTTGCACGTGACTTCATATCTTGAAAGCATGCAATTATGTCTTTTAATGTAAGTTTGTCTTAAATGTCTTGTTTCTGCATTTTATTGTTGCATTCACTTTTTATTCTGCTTTGTTTATGCACCTCTCAATCTGGATTAAGCAGGTCTGTGAATCTTCTCAATGCATGCAAACTGAAAAAGCCTGCTCTAAGGTGAGGGATCCTTAATAGCTTTGTAGTGTTGAAGCTCCGTTGTTTTTCCTTTCAGTTTCAGTTCAACATGTAGAAAGTGGCTGTTTTTGTATGACCATTAACATGGTAGAACTGTAATTATTATTCCCATTTTTAACATTTTTCAGAAGTACATGTTTAAAACTTTCTCATCATTGATTAATGCATTGCAAAACTTGGGTAATAATTTCAGTTATGGTATCTGCGTTATGCTAACAGACCTTTTACTATAGGGGTGTTTCATTAGACCACATTGCTGTCTTAAATAAGTTAAAAATTGTGTTGTCAAATGTTATCTTTTTAAATATTTGGAAATGTTCTCCTTTCATATCACTAATGTGGAAGCCAAATTCTGGAATCCAGTTATACACTTACAAACCTGTAAGCTAAATTGATATCATCTATCATTTTAAATTTCTTCTCAGGTGACAGTGTACCTACTGTAGCCATGGATATAATCCCTGGTGTTTAATACTATAGCTACCAAAAGGAGTATATGCCAAAATTGAAGTGGAGTTATAATCCTCCTTTCCAATTACCTGCTAATACTTCTTACTGGGCTTTTTTTGTTTTTGAAAGTTTAAAATAAAATTTGTCAGAAGATAATATTACTAAGTAGTTTAACCAGTAATGGATGTAAGCCAGCAGAGTTTAAAAGACTTTATTCCTGTGGTAAAAGTAGTTTTCATACTGATATGAGACTTCATTAATAAGAACAAAGATAGCATTACACTTTTAAGCTTCAGTCCCACCCGTTCATTTTTTTTATCCACCAGTTCATCTTTTGAATCTTGATAGCTATAAAATAAAACCCCAAGCAACACTAAAATTAGTTTAAATTTGCTTCTGTAACTTACATTTTTTCCTAACACTAGTATAATTTGGTCATTTCCTTAATTTAATTTCAGTGTAGGCTGATACTGCCTCTTCTTTTCCTTAACCAGAAAAAGATGCCAAAGCAAAGGTGTGATCTTGCAAAATCACACAGGGTGTTTTTGCAAGTACTATATATAAGGTAGTGGAAGGACTCATGCTAATAAGGATATTTTATGTGGAGTAAACATTTTCAGTATCAAGGCTTTATTTTTTAACTGGAGTATAAATTGGATGATACTACGAGATGCATTGAGACCAGTTAAATGTTAACAGTATATTATGTAATTTACTAGAGGAGGTTTTTTCATATGTTTGACACTGAGATGACTTGGATAATGTTAGGCTAGTGTAGGAGACACATTTCTGAAATTAGGACAGAATTCAATTCTCTTTGCTGCCTTTTCCCCTCTCCTGTGAGTGTATTTTGTTCCATGCCTATGTGTAACTTTGCATTTGCTTGCTCTCTTACATCGTTCTCTCCACAGAAACAATATTTTTTTTTTTAAATTTCAGCTTAATCATTTGAAGCATCCTTGTTTTTAATACAAAAATGCGGCACTGAACATCTGTTCTACCATTGCATGTTCCAGAAAGTTTTTTTGTCAAGCTACCTGAGATGCATCTTAACATGCATCTGCTGTGCTGTGCGGGGTTTCCCCTAGACAGGGGCTTCTCTCCTTTCAGAAGGGCGGTTGCTTTGCACAAAGACTCTGGTTCAGTTGTTCCCATTGTTCCTGTAACTGAGCCTCAGCTGAGGTGTTGAAACATTCCCCTCCTCCTCAGTAAAAAGACATGAGGGACCAGGATTTTTTTTTTCCCAGTGTATTGCTAATGGTGTACAGTCGATAAGCTGAATATTTTTTGACCAGACAGAAAAGTCTGCCTTGTTTCTTTTAGTTATGAAGAGCCAATGCCTCTCTTTCTTGCACCACACACAAAATGGGTCAGAGCCTGAGGAGCTGACCGAGATAACAGAGTAGGGATAGTTGTTAGGGGCTGATGGGGAGGTTTGGAATAGACCTCAAGGATGCTCGAGATGAGCCTTATGGTAAGCAGAGCATCCCTGGGGCTGTGCGGAGGTCAAGGGGGAGCTGGCTGGGGATGGTCAAAGGGACAACTGGGATGAGCCTGGGCCGTGAAGGAGCAAGAACAGAAAGAACTGAAGTTTTCCCAAAGGGAGGGAGCTTGTGGTTGGGATTTGGGTAGAGGGTTGTGAATTTGAAAGCGATCATTGGTGTCCATGGCTTCTGGGGAGACAGAGCCGCTGAACTTGGCCATTTAGTTACGGGGATGTTATGTGTAAGGGGGACATTTCCATTCTGCTCTTTGGAGGGGAGAAAACAGCACAGGACTGCGGTGGGGGGAAATGAGACCCTGGCACCAAGTCCTGCTGTTCAGCTGCTGGTGTGGGGGCAATTCCTGCTTCAGTCCAGGTGATACTGCCTGTGCCTCTCTGCTGCACAGGGAGTACAGCAAAGTGAAAAGCATCATCCAGCTTGGGCCTTACTCTTAGCTGCTCTCTCTCCTGCTTGGAAGCACTGCTTTAGGGAGAAGAGCTTTGGACTGAGAAATAACCACAGTAATTTGTTTCCTATTAGGTTTAAGCTCTGAGTGGGCTTCTCTTAACTTACCAGGTAATAACTGCTTGTGTTTTGGCTCACGTTTTTCCATCAGAGAGAGCTGGATGTCTAAGGGGTGCCATAAAGTCATACAGGAGCTCCCTGATAGCTATCTTGACAGGAAGGATGGTTGAAGACTGACAGAGTAAGGCAAGCTTTAAGCCTTTGAGTAACCCCTTGTCAGGAGATGTGGGGAATCTAATCTATTCATACATGTAAGTAGGAAGCATACATTTTTGACAAGCTTACAAAAAAAATGGCAGGCTAACTCACCATTAATTGCACTTTGGGATATGTTAAAACTAGCTTTGAACCACAGAATAATTGGTACTGAATGAACACACAAAGTTAGCTTGTGCCTGCTCAAATTTTGACCTACTTTTGGCATTCTCTGTAGTCTGGCTGCAAGTGTCAGGTAATATGCTTTCTCCTTAAGTCTTTCATCTCTTATTAAGATAATCGAAAAGTCCAGAAGTGTGGAGTGGTAGTGAGAGATTTGAAATGTGACCTGGAAAATAGATATTGCAACTTACTCTATGATATTGGTTTAGCTTATCTTCTATTTTATTATTAAGGAAAAAGCAGTATGTTGTCTCTGTTACAGCAGGTACTCAGCAGAACTCTTATGTAGGTTCTTTTAACAAATCAAGTTATGATTAAAACCAAAGTTGTAGTTTTTAGGGCCACCTTTCTACTTGATATGTTTCTCAAAAATATTTGTCGTAGGGATATGTGTCTTTACATGTGCCCCTGTAAAACTTGCTCCTTTTTTTATTAGCACTGTTAAGAGAACCAGTTCAACTGAGCGTGTGTCCCCAGGCGGTCGGAGAGAAAGCTATGGAGATTCCAAAGGGAGTCGCAACCGCACTGGTTCCACCAGCAGCTCATCTAGTGGTAAAAAGAACAGTGAAAGGTAATGTTATCTAAGAATCTATCTCTTTCTCTGCCTGCTGCCCTAATAATTAAATTAGTTTAGTTAGTGGAATTAGTTTCTCTAGTTTATCAAATATTGGGAGCTTTTTTCTTGTTTAAAAGCTCCAACAGTTGAACAAAATTATATTATAAAACATTTCAAATAAAACAGGTTTTAAAATGCAGTTGAAATTTATTTGCCTTATTTCCAAACCATAAACTTTGAATTGCCTGGAAAAGTTTGTAATTATTAAACATACCTTTTCCATTACCTTTGTGGTTTCCCTTGGTCTTCAAGTTCCTGCCATCTATGTCTTCAGGTTCCTGGTTGTGGTGCATTGACCCCAGCTGGCAGCTGAGCACCACACAGCCACTCACTCCCTCTCCCCCAGCAGGATGGGGGAAGAGTCTAGGAAGAGCAAAAGTGAGAAAACTCACAGGTCAAGATGAAGGCAGTTTAATAAATGGAGGAAAGAGGAAGAAAAACCAAAACAAGTGATGGAAAGGCAATCGCTCACCACCTCCCATGTGCAGACTGATGCCCAGCCAGTCTCTGAGCAATGACTGCCTCAGTCCGAGGGTCAAATTAACGAGGAGTGGAGGGATAGGCTTACATGCAAGTGCTATCCAAAGAAGTGGAATAAAGTGATGTGTGTCCCTGTGTATCTCTGATGATGCTTCTCTGTACTGCTGACAGTACAAGGAAAAGAGAATGTCTTATCCAAGGGTTTCAGACTCAGGATGGTCTTGAACAAATAGCTGATTCATTGATGCTTTTGATGAAGTCACTCAGCTGGTTCTTTCCTATATTTTCCTAGACAGATCTTAGTCGTGGCCATTTCCCCACCACCAAAAAGTGGTGTTGATGGTACTGTTTCACTATCTCATAGATGATGTGACCATAGAAGCAGAATGGTAATGAAGATCATCACATAATAACATAGTTTACCTTCTCTGTATGGGCATCAGTGCCAACGTAGGAGTTGCTGGATTGCTCATGAGCTGATGGTATGGCACAAAACACCCCTTCCTTTTTTGTCCTTTCAGCATCTTCACTTGATGTGAGCAATGACTGAGGTTGTTGTGTACTAACAGACAAGCCTAAATATGAGTGATGAAATTATTAATAGTTTGTTTCCTGGCTTACATTTTCAGCTATGAAGCAAGACAGCAAGTATGCGAAGTTTTTGAAACTTGTGAAAAGTGTAGCAAATTATGGGAATAATGAAAAAAATAAGAATACCATCAGAGAAAAGGTTATAAAATAGTAACCAAGGAAGGTATAATTAAATACTTACACAAACTGAAAATTTAGACACTGTAAAATCTTGGCGATGTGTATCTATGCATGTGAATGAGTTTTTTGTAAGGTGATGGAATTCTGCAGGACTGGGCCTTCTGGCACTTCTGGAAATGTGACCTTATCTCAGCATATGATTTTTTAAGTTTTTTTTCCTATATTTTTGTCGTATAATTATAAACAACAGATAGCCTTTTGGGAATGTGTTTTGAAGAGATGAGAATGTTGCAGTGGTACTGAATAGAAGTGGTTTTGGTTTTGTTTACAAGATTTTTGTACTTCACTTTAAATTTCCTAAAAGATTGAAATATAATTACAAAAAAAATACTATAGCAATTCACTCTTTAAGTAATCTCTACATAAATGCTATTTTTGAGAGGTAAATCAGTCTTTTATTGGATTACTTAGGAGCCGTGTCTCTTTCTGCATGTGCAGACTTGGATAAAATTGTTACTAAACATCTCAGACCCTTCTGGCACAGAGAATATATACGTTGATACATCAGAAAGAATACCGCTGAAGCAGAAAACCAAATATTAACACTCTTAGGGATAAGTTGAGCTTGAAAGTTTTGAAAGGCAAAACTAAGCAAAAAAATTAATGAGCAGTGAAGGGACTGCTGAGAAGATAAAAGCTTGCTCTTAGTTTAAGCTGGATGTTCTGTGAAGTGTTGCAGCAGTGCATAACTTCATACAGCTGCATTGTCCCAGTGAATTCGTTAACAGGGAGCTGCTGTTTTCTGTGTTGGTCTCTTGATGCTGATAGCTTTTCTAAGGCTGATTTTTTTACTTTTAATTTTGCATATATGTATAAGTTCCTGCTCTACTACATGTATCAAATTATAGCAACAGCCCTTAACATGTGACTGCATTAATTAAAAAAACCTCACCTTATATAAACCAAAAAAATTTAATATTGAAACTTTTTGTTAAAAAACTTAAATTTCTGTAGTTAGATGGGAAGACTTTTATTTCTAGAATGTGAGGAAGAGGTACAGCTACCAATGGTGAAATGTCATTACTTTTCCAATTAACTGTTTAAAAAAAAAAAAAAGTTTTAACAAACATATGAGGACCCTTTCTCTATGTATTTCATCAATTTTTAAAATAAAAATATTCAAGTCCTCAAAAGGTGAATTCAGCGTATGTTGTGCAGTGGAAGATAAACCTGACAACATCTAAGTACAGAGCTTTGCAAAATCGGTTTTGTTAAGATATCCCTGAGTTCCTGCTATCTGCATAAGGTTATAATTATCTTAAATCAGTTTTGTATTAAAGCTACTAAAGAAATAAGGTGAGATTATTAATTAGGCTGTTGTTCATTTAAATTAAGGAATATGACTTCTAGCAGCGGTACTTCTACATACAGATACTGAGCACTTAAAAAAAAAAAAGAATTCCAAAATAGCTGAGAAATTAAAATATTAAGGCATAATTAATGATTATCTGCAAAATTTAGTTTCTGCTCTAAAGTTGATCATGGTACTCGAGATGCATTTTTCATTTTTTCGTTCTATTCTAGCAGAAACCTGGTGGTTATGTCATTCTGCAGTTGTTAAACCACAAAAGGGTTGAGCAACAGCATTGATCAGGAATCACTTGCTTTGGACTCGGGGAGGAGGTCCAGCACACAAGTGATGTGATGCTTAAAATAATGCGCAGGTGTCCCAAGGAGCTAATGGAGAGCGCATGTTACACTGCCTTAGCTGTACCTAGTGATGCTGGTGCCACTATGAGAAAAATCATTGCATGGTTAGAGAGTTTCCCCTGATTTCTGCCACATGCAACCTGAGGGTGTTCAACACCACAGCTCCCACCTCCTTGAAGAGTGTCTTTATCCTGTGGAAGAGGCTGGGTAAAGACTTGCCTCATGCTTCCTGTTGAAGCTGGACCACTGTGCAAAATATAAAGCAAGAGCCATGGGATTAGGCGAAAAATGACCATGATTCTGTATGCTGAGGGCTAAGGCTGCACTCGTAAATCTAACTGTATGTGTCAAAGAGTGAGGAAGAGGGTGTTACTTAACCATCTACTCACTGTCTTTTTTTGTATCATTGATCCTTGTAGGTCCCTCGTAGGTATTCTATGATTTTATTTTATATCTGATCTGTAGATGAAACTAAAAGCAGAATGCATGCCAGGAATCTAGAGGCAACCATGAAATTACTGGTTTTCAAAGTATATGGGGTTGTAGGCTGTTACACAAAAACATAATGCTATAGAAATCTATTTTAAGAAGCTTTAAGCATAAGAAGTAAGGAGATGACCATAATCTCCTGTGCTACTGTGGGGTAGCCTGACTCCCTATGGCTATGAGCCAGGGGCAAGCCTTCTGAAGGGTTAGATAAGTGGGGAGTGACTCAAGTTCACAAAAAAGAAAAGGGTAGTCAGAGCTCTGAGCTATGTGTGTGGTTAGGGTTTGTATAGTTAGAAAGTACACATGATTTGCTTTATTGCTGTCATGAATCAGCCTTTCACATTAGCTTGATTAGCTTGAGTAAGTCAGCATGGTCTGTTCAGAGCTAGGGATTCTTTTGTCTCTAATATGGCAGCATTTCTGACTAATGCTCCATCCCATAAAGTTTTTATTTTCTAAAAATATTTTCATTCATAAGAGAAAATGTTGATCTTGTTGTTAACAGTGGCAACACATCATGCTATTTATATAGATGAGATTGGCTGTGTATGCTAGCTTGAAGTATGAATTTTGATGCATGATTAATACCAAGGCTGATATTATGAAAATTTGCTAAATCAATGTGTAGGATCAGTAGAATTCTTTTTTGTTTTGTTTTGGTTTGGTTTTGTCATTAAGTAAACATATTATTGTTAATGTAACTGCCAGATCAAGGCAAAACGAGAAACACTGTAAAATTATTTGCTACAACTTCTGTTGTAGAGAGGGAGAATCTTTTATGCTTAGAAAAAAGTTGTGTGCAAAAATCCAACCCTTTTTTTGGTTTCTCTTTATCTGCCACTGCAGTCTAGGAACAGATGTGGAGATGGCATCACATCATCAGAATTTCTCCATCAGAATGATAGGGCTTTCAACCCTTTAGGGATCACCCTAAGAAATATAGAACAGTAATCTAATATTTCAAAAGTTTTACTGGAGAGAAAGAAAAAGGAACTGAGAGGAAAAATAACTGCATAATATAGCTTTGTGTCACTTTCACGCTTCAGCAGAAACAACACCCTCAAGCCTGTTTATACAGGGGCAAAGGACAAAGAAAACAAATGACTGGCATTTCTTGGAAAACATTGCTTCTTTCTGGCCAGGGTAGTACTATCCAGAGAGCTCCTCAGCTTTTCTACTTCTTCTTTTTCCAAATCCTTCATGTATTTTCCCCTCAAGTTTTGCCAGATATTTTCTCAAGACAAAAAGACAAACTGATTTCAGGTTGTCTTCCAGGCAGCAGTGCAGTGAGAAAGAGCAGACATTTTAATCGTGATGGATACGTGCTTTCTGGGTTTTACCACGTACTGGCGTTTACCAAGAAAGAATTGTCCAGTTCCATGCTTTATGTAAACTTTTGGAAAAGCAGGATTCAAACCTTGGTTTGCACCTTAGATCCAGAGAGAACAAAGCGATGAAGTAAGCGAACACCCACACGTGCACTGATGCAGTAGCCCCCCTGCACCCCACTCCATATGTGCAGAGAGGATACATTCCTAGCTGTTTGTTATGGCCGTAAACTGCTTTGCAGTAACAAATCTCCCTCACTGGAAACCAAAACTGATGCAGCTGCTCATTACCAGTTTCTGTGTCCTCCTGTAACTGGATTAACTCTGCAAGGGAAGAGGATCTGGTAGTTGGTAGAGGAAAATCTATAGTTTTGAGAATGTAAGGAGAATTGAATGTAAAAGTGTTAACACCTGCCATCAAAGAGCCACAGTGTATGCTGGTTTTAATTGTGTCTGCATGGGGATTTATTTTGTAAATACTTGAACTGAAAAAGTGTTTTTATTTATATGTACACACACACAAATATTTTATATCTCTTATATTTTTAATTTTATGTTTTATTGATACCTTTATATGTGCAGACTGACTGTGCATGCTTTTTAAAATGGAAATGTCTTCATTATTTTCACAGCAAACCCAAGGAACCAATGTTCAGTGCAGGTAGGAACTTTTCAAATTTTGAAGCAGATAACAACTGTGGTAACATAATAGTGGTTTCGTTTTGTTTTCTTTTCCTGTGGATACCTAGGAACTGGTATTGGAAATCTAAACATGATACTTACAGGTTACTAATGACATATTTTTAAAAAGTTGATCAGTTTGCTTTCGTTTTTATTGGCCCAATAGGTTTATTTTATAGTTAGGATTCTTTGTAAGAAGACAAAGAAAAAGGCTGTGCCTTCTTACCCCAAATATGTCTTCTCTTTCAAAGCAGTATTAAGGATTTGTTGATTAAAGCATATGCCAAGTTCCAGCTATGATGCTGTCATGTGAATTTAGTCATTAAAAGGGAGCCCTCAACTACTGTTAAAGAATGCAACATCTCTCCCAATGCCTTGTAATAAAATTTGTCAAATTACAAATAAAAAAGGTGCTTTGTTACTACAGTTTTCAAAGTCTATCTTTAATTGGAAAAACACTTTAATTTTTTCCTACTTATGTATTAGCCCTGTAAAAAGATTTTGAAAGTGAAATAGTAGGTATAAGTAAAAGCAGAATTTGTCCTTGTCATTAGACAGTTACAAACTTTTGAACAGTCTCAATAAAAGTACAAAGTGGAATAGTACACCTAACAATTATTTTTTTTTCTGAAAAAACAAGGACAACTAAAATAAATGCTTTCTTTTAATGAAATAAGGAAGGGAAAAAATGTGTTGATTTTTCAGGTGTATCATATTCTTTTTGTGTATAGTTCTGTAACAGTAATCAGACATTAAACTGACAAAGTAGAAAATATTTTGTTTACTGAGCTGATTGATTAGCATCCAGCAAAGCTCTTAAGCCGTAATTCAGGGTTTAGTCTAATTGATTTTGAACTCAGTAATATATAAAACTAAGTAAGCACTTCAGCATTTTGTGGCAATGCAATCACAGTTCATGTCTCTTTCATGAAAACTGTTGGTTTAGCAAAAGAAAACTTCTCATTCTCCCAGAGCATACTTTTCTTGTGTAACATTTCTCCTTCCCTTGCATCACATAACGAAAGGTATCTGGGATAATTTTTCTTCTGACACTTTTCCTGTAGATAAAGATCAGTAATGAAGCAGATGTGACACTACTTTTGCCATTCTCACCTGGACAAAATTCCTACTGAAATTAATGATTTTTTTTTTTTAAGAAAGTTATAGCTGGTATTTTACTTACTTTTACCATAGAGTTGCATAATGGAACCTGAGCCAGTATTTTGATTGTAGAAGAACAAAACAGAGCCCCTAGCTGGTGGAAAAGGGTTTGGACTGTAATTACCCAACGTGTGGCATGGAGTGTGGCTCAGTGTTTTGTCAAGTACCAGGTTAGCCTCCAGCACAATATGACTGGACAGCAGGTAGAGCAGGTATTTAGTGAGTTTCTTGTATTCAAACACATCTTTATCCAGCCCTTCTGTCTCTGTCTCTGTAATCACAAGGGAAGCGCCGTGTGACACACTGCAAAGGTAGGCTTCAATTCCAAAACCTAATAGCTCTCGAAGCAAAATGGTACTGGTGGGATAAAAGCTCAATGTATAAACAGCTATTTTCTAACTTGCATGCATTTTGCAATGTTAAAATTTTTCTAGTTCTTTTGAATTAAACCAAAATATTATACCATCTATTATACAGCCCTACTGAATTATAACCCTTAGGTGCACTTTAGTAATAATAATGGGTTATAATTTAGATTCCTGTGGAATTTTTCAGAAGAATTTGAATTAGAAAAAGTCTGTTGAGAGAGCTATATGGCAACACGTGGATGTTCACTGTGTTTGAAATGGTGTTCTGCACTTTGCTGAAATTCATATAGAATTTGCCCCTTTGTTGGCTGTTTTGCTGTTAGCATAACATGGTTATAGAAGCCTTGGTTTTTCCCTTGCTTTTTCTTACTGAGTAGACTGTAGATTTTTATGAATGTTGAATAAACAGACCTAGGCCTCCAACTAATTTCTCAGTGCTTTTTGCTGAATGTCATAAAGCAGAGTTACATTTGGTAAACATACCGTATTGTTTTCCAAAGCTTTAGCTAAACTGTAGTGTAAATATGCACATTTTTGATGCATGTTTATGTCTGTGATATAATCACAGATTTCTCTTGCTTTTTAGAGATAGCTAAAGCCTAACAGTTTTTCCACTAATCAGCGTCTTTCAGCTTTGCCACAACTCTAAAATTTCACAAAGCAAATAATGTTTGTTCTCAAGACTAAGTCTTTTAGAGAGTCTCTGCCTCTGTGTATTCTTTGTACAATTTTATGCCTGCAATCAGTAGTTTTCCCCTTTGCAGATCCTACTGGCATTCACGTGCCTTCTTATTTCAGTTCGGTAACTGTTAATTTTTACAGTTATTTTCAACAACAATTTCAAATTTACAAAATTGCAGATGTAAAAGATACATTTGTCTAAACCTTTCATCACTGGTCTGTCTTTGTAGTTTGATGATTGTCTGTCTTTACATCTGTATCTTCACATTTAGAACTTTGCTGTCTTAAAAACTTAGTTATGAAAAATATGAGGAAAGGGATATAAGTTGGTTATGTAGGTAAAATGTTTGTATTACTAAGTAAAATCACTACAGATGGAATTAATATTAGCAAAAGTTAGAAGCAGATACATGCTATGGATTTCTGTGCCTGACCTAGTCATCCTCAGTTCCTCTTTATAGGAGGGAGAGAGGGAAGGCATTCTGAAGGTATAATTTATATACTTGGTGTAATGTACTTGGTACAATTTACTATACTTGCTTTTGGACATCTGCCTTAACGTGCTTAATTTGTCCAAAAGTACCTCTTTCTCCCTATTTGCTCTGAGAAGGAGTTTTGAGTGACTAGGTCAAATACTTTCCCTGTAGATGGCTAAATGCAAGTTTTATGAGTCCCATGAGTTTCAGGTGAGAAAAGCAGTTTCAGGTGACCAGGTTGCTCAAAGCCATTAAACTTTCATTTACTCCCAGCCTATGATAAACTCAGTCAAGGGTTGTCACTGTTGAAAATCCATTGGTTTCCAGTGCACCAGTATCAGTAGTATTGGCATGTGTTTCAAGCTTATTAAATAGATGCTGCATGCGCATACAAGTAGTGCTGTAATGCTCTGCTATTTAATGCTCTGCCCTCTATAGTTTATTTTCCAATACAGATCTATTGGAGTAGATTTTGAAAAAACAGTTCCAGTATTCTAGCATTTTAACAGGCATCTTAAGCTCCAACTGTCTGTCACCATTATTTCACCATTATTATTGTTTCTTTTTATCATTCAGTTTTCTGTTGTTTTCATTGCATGTATGAATTCTGTAAATGGAGGGATTTTAGGGAGCCCTAGGTGTAACTTCCCTGTGACAGATCAGGTAGATCTCTTCCCCAGATCAATTAGTCTAAAGGCAAAGTACACATATATTTAGGTAATACAGCATAGCTATGATGTTTATTTGTTCAACTGATAATTTTATTCATTTGGTCAGGATTTGTAGCATATGCATATTTCCAGTTAAAATAAAGCCTTATTTCTCAAATTAAAAAAATAAAGGTATAGTTGTAATGCTACTTAACAATTCTTAGCATAATTTTAACAGTCCTAAATTGTATAATTTTTTTCATTTACATGATTTTGTTACTTCTGCCCTTCCATTTCCTCTGTGCCCACAATTATTCTGTCTAGTAACTCTACAGATGTCACTGACTCCAAAACTGCTTGATTCGCATGAGAACAAGGCTGAACCCCTTGATCTGCCGATGGAGCAGCAAGAGCCAGCACGTTCTGAATCTGGACAAACTTCACCAGAAGTTCACAAGACACCCACTTTGGCCTTGCCAGTTCCCAAAAGTCCTAGTCAGACCTTCATGGCATTTCCCAGATCTCCTAGTTTTATAAGCCCCATGAAGTCCCCAAGTCAGTACTTCCAGATCTGTTATTAATCCTTGCTTCTCTCCCCCAAAAATATTTCTTACCAGTTCAACACATTACTATTAGTATTTTCTTCTAGAAATGTTTACGTCTGTCATCCAATTCAGTTTTTGTAGCTTCTCTCCTGTATGTCATTTTCCGTTCTTTTAATGTGCTGTCAATGTTGTCATTCTTTTTTCAATGTTTAGTGTTTCTTAAAGCACATATCTTTTCTGCATGTACATCAGCATGATTCCTTTTACTAATTGTTTGTGTTCCTTATTTCGAATGTATCTCTTAACACTGTATCAAGTGTAAAGCATATCTTTACACTGAGATGCAAAGAATGCAACTGAGTGTTGGAAAATACTTTAGATGCTGATGCTCCACTGTAAATATTGATTAAAAAATAAAATTGTTTTAAGTGGCATTTCTGCGTTAATTGTAATCTTTGATGTTTTCCCCTTCATTTTTAATATAAAAAACCCATAATACTGTAACATTATTTTTCACCAAAAAAGTTTTTATTTCAGTTGTTTCAACTTTGTAGATCTTCATGACATTGTTTAGTTCTAATACTGCTGCTCAAAATATTTAGAGGAAAAAGGGACTTTGTATGGTTAAAAAAAATTCTGCCTGGTGATTATGATTTAGGAAAAAAAACCACCCTGCTTAATTTCTATGTTTGAGATTGCATGTCATTCTTTAATTATAACGCACCAAACTGTTAAGTGGGAAGGGATGGAGGAGCACTGGAGTTCTCCACTGATGGGTTTTTTGTGTAACACTAAACATTTCTGACCTTTTGTAGAGGAAGGATACGTAAAAATGTTTCTTCGTGGACGTCCTGTTACCATGTACATGCCCAAAGAACAAGTGGAATCTTACAATTTGGAAGCAAAAGTAGAACTACCAGCCAAGAGGCTTAAACTGGAATGGGTGTATCCTTTCTGTGCTAGAGGACTACTGGAAATCTATCAGTTCTTAATTATTTGTTTTAAATAATTTTTTGAGTTGAAAGATAGCAAAATTAAGATCTTTATTAACAGGGTTTGTTTCATTAGTGAAACGGCATTCCACTGAAATAGATGTTAATTTCTCGAGGCTGCTCTTCTACACCTTGTGAAGTACAGAGTGGCAGCTTAAGAAAGATTTTGCTTAAATGTTGCCTGAAGGTTAGGGCTGAAGTACACTAATTAGCTAAAGATTAAACTAGGCATATTGCAAGAATGTCGTGAGCTGTGATTTTTAATTATAGTGTGAATAAAACAAGCTCAGGTTTTTTTGCTCTCAGCCGTAATTTATCGTTTTAAACTATGTTTTATAAAATGTGCACCATTGTCCTTCAGAGGATGCTGTCGTCAGCTTCAGTACTTGAATAAGCCCTGAATTGAATAGCACTTTGCAACTAATAGGTGCTTAGCAATAAAATTAATAAGTTATTGTATATAAAATAATGTTTGAATTTAGATTTTTAACTTTGTTCAAGCACTATAAATACCAAACAACCAGAATTTTCCACTGACTTCTATGAGTGGGCATAATTACAGAATTCCAACCTGAAAGAAATCAGTGTTTCATTACATGCAGAAATTTTCACATTTCACTTTTAAATATAATGAGAAAATACATTCTTTATTGAAAAAAGAAATGTCATTTCATTTTTGTATAATCTTAGTATATGTAATAGATCATTCAAGATAAAATATAAACACAACAAGATTTGAGTCTGTTTGTAATATCCACTATCTTTAGAGAGATGAAGTCTTCATAATGTTTTCTATTTTAAGAAAAATACTTTTTTTTTTTTTTTGTCCCAAACAGTGCAAATAGGAAGTTGCTTTGTCTTCATAAAAAAGAAGACAGGCTGCAAATAGTCTTTTTGAAAGTTGTATAAATAGAACTGCATGTGGTTTCAGAATGCACACAGAGTTTCCAAAAGTCCCGTTGTATTCACAAGAGATTAATGACAGATTTAGTAACCATTCTTAGTATTCCTAGTGCAGCTGATCCTGTAGGTTCTACCCGACTCTGCTGGAACTGCATAAATAATGCATACAGAAATAAATGAAGATGAGTTAAAAAACCAAAAAATCCACAAAATTAATAAAACGGCTGAGATTAGAGTGATAAATACTACTTGCAGCATTTTACCGTCTATAATTGATTTACAGCCTCTCACCATATATCACAACAGAATTGAATGGTGTCTTTTTACACTTGTAAGGTTCCCCTTGCTTAGGATGCCTAAGGATAATATGTGAGAAAGTGTTAGGATGATTGCTGAAACAACAAAGAAACCTCGACCACAAAACAAGACAGATTGTCATTAGCAGTGTGGAGATGGAAGCTGAAGTTAATATTTCAGCCTATTGTAAGAAGTGATAATTATCAAGTATTATCAATTCAGTCTCGTTAGTTTCTCCCTTAAGCTTACTTAAATGCCTGAATATTTGCCAGATGGAGTATTATTTTTAGTTTCAATATTCATATGTCCTTCCAGGTGTGTGTCTCTATATCCAGCAGAATCCTTTATGTAAAGGTTGTCGATGAATAGAAAAGGTGTGAATTAATAAAATGCTTCAACTAACTCAGAGTGGTTACTGAGGAGGAAGCATAGTTTTTTCCAAAAATATTATGCTAATTTTTTTTCAGATTTTAATATCCATACTTAAAAGTTACACCAAGGACTAGGTATATAAAAGACTTATTTTGGTGAGGAGGGGGGATGTGACCCAAACCAGAGAGATTGAAGATAATGCCCAATTTATACACTATAGTGATGAGAAGAAAAGCTAGGGGCAGGAGTGTAAAACAGCTTAGGAGAGAGACAAAGACAGCAGAAAGCCAACCGATATGGTATTGCAGACATTCATTCCAGTTAAGCTGGAGAAGCTGAGCTGTTTGCTTGGGGGTAATAGAACTGGAGGAGGAGAAAACATCTTTGTAGTGGACAGATATGGCTGTCGGATTACAGCCAGAAATGCCCCATGTAAGAATGGGGAGAGAGAAACAAGCTATTGGAGGTGAGACAGGCAAAGCAGACCATGATGAGAAAGAAGAAAATCTAATGTGTGTAGATCTCAGGGCATACCTGAGACCTAAAGGGGCCTTTGCAGTGATCTTAGCAGGTATCTGGGTAAGCCAAAAAAGGTTCAGGGCACATCAGATACATTCAGACATGAAGAAACAGAAATGCTGAGTGATGAAGGGTGAGCGAGGACTGGAGCATAGGTGGTAGAATCTGAGCAGGAAATCAGCACTGGGGACATCGGGGTGGGAGCAGTGGTCTGCACGGATCCGTTTGAGACCAGCTCTCTTGGCAAGCAGGAGGTTTGAAACAAAAGCTGCAGGACAATTGAAAAGAAAAAGGTCAAGATAACGTTCCCTGAAGTGCCAACTTACCAAATCAAAGTTGAAGCCACCAAATCCAAGTGTGGGAAACAGTGAGGAGACAGAGAGATCAACCCCAGGAGTTTACATCTGAGAAAAAAGGTTGATAGAAAGAAACTGAGAGTTTGACAACAGCAGTTATGCGAAGTGTTGAATGCAGCATTGTTCCCTACAGGAAGAGTTGTGAAGAAAGAAGATTTCCCCAAGGAATGTAATGTTTCCCTTTTAATAGCTATTTTTCTGCACAGACATTTGTTCCCTATGAATGGCTGTATAATGGTTTTACTTCACTTTTCTTAGAAGTTTAATTCCTTAGGCTAAGTTTCAACTGCTAGTTCATTATCAACTTGATTATGTATTGTTCAACTAGGGAAATTTTACATTGACTTCAGTTGGTAATGGTATCTGGCTTTAGAGAAAAAAAGAAATTTAAACAAATACAGCATTGTCCTGCCATCTAGAGTAGTAAATAACCTTCACAGACAGATTAAAAATTCATAGTAAATGCTTTGTAATTTGCAGATATTGGATATGTATATGACTTCAGATTTTAATATCTCAAACTTGAAGGAATTTTGGCTGAAATATTTCATCTTGGGAGTCCAAAAGCTGTATTTTTGAATGCACATTTTGATGGGTATGCAGCACTACTTCTATTGCACTAACTAGAAAATCTATTGAAATTCCTATTTTAGGAACCATCATCCTTACTTAGATAATGTTAACGTGAGTTTTTTTAGTTTCAGTGGGTTATCATTGACCATAGAGAATAGTGCACAAGTATCTTCTTAATATCATATAATTGGGGTTTCAGTACCTCTTCATGTATTTATCGCATCCAGTTTCTCCATATTGGCCAAATTAGAATGCACTTCTGTTTTGCCAGGATTCTGCTAATGCTGTTTCTCTCTGTTCCTATAAAAAAAGGAAAGCCAAAATAGTTGTAGTCCCTAATGACTCTTCAGAAGAATAAAATTGCATAATTTGGCTGAATTAACATTCACTCTAAATGAGATTATTTCTGGATTAATTCCAGTTATTTCATTGGATTAATTTTAGATTAGTGTTGATATGACTAGCATCAGAATCTGGGCCACTTCCTTTTGAATACTACAAAAATAAATTGGAATGGATGATGTAACCCTTTTATAGTTTCCTATCCATCTGGCTGGTAATGCCCAGAATAATGAAATCAATCAACCTGCACAAAGGATAATGCAGTCAGTCCTAATGTAATGCAGGGTGATGTACTGAATGACTTATTAGTGTTTTCATCAAGCCTAAATCTTAGTTTTAATTAGTCAACCAGTGTAAATAGGGAATACACTTGGGACAAAATTAATATTGCCTTAGTCTGGCATTTAGCAAATTCCAGAGGATACTAAAGGAATAGTATGACACAAAATCCTGTCTTGTTTACCATGTATTTTCTGTAGGATGTGTAGTAAGGGAGGGAGTTCTGAAGGCTGCCAAGTGATAAAGCTGTGTTCAAGCAAGAGGTGCTGACTTCAGGAAATACACAGGCAGAGAATGCATTTTGGTTTTCCTTATTTTTAACATTCTTCATTGGTAGATAATGTTATTGCAGCTTGACCAACATGCTAGCTATGGATATAGGGGTCGGGACTGTCGCAGTAATCTCTATCTTCTTCCAACGGGCGAAACTGTGTATTTCATCGCATCTGTAGTTGTGTTGTTCAATGTTGAAGAGCAGCTTCAGAGACATTACACTGGTCATAATGATGATGTGAAGTGGTAAGTCACCTAGTAACCATTCTTTTGTCTTCAGAAAACAGCATTTGGGAGGTAATGTTTTGTTCTTTTAATATAGTTCTGAAAATCTGGTTTAACTTCTAAGTCTTGCATAGGTTTGGGTCCTTACGCCTGAGAGCGCATCTGCACAATCCAGTAAAGGTCTGGCTGTAGTCATGGTACATGTGCACATGTAGTCCTGCAGGCATGCCAGCTTGGGCTTCAAAGTGATTTAACTGTGCTCGAGCTTAGAGGAGACTAGGTATCAGGAAATACCAATATTGTTAAACTGAAATCTAAATAAACATATGGTTTATCTTAACGGTATCTGTCTGCTTGCTGAGTGTAGCTGAAAAAGAGCACCTGGATTATCTGATGGGCCCTAATGTATGAAATGGGTTTGACATCTCTTCTTTAGATTAAGCATTATGAAACACCTGTTGTCCTTCAACGTCACAAATAGACCTCATAATGAAATCTGGTTGCATTGTGAGCATGTTTCATAAAATCAAATTATTTGTATAATCTAGTTGTTTTACAAGGAGATTTTTAACTCAAACCTGTTTAATCTCATTTCTTTCTTTCAAATTTTCTGACTCTTTAGATATTTGAATGCTTTCAGGTTTATTGGAAAGAGGATACCTTTCCCCATTATAAAGCTGAATGAATTATTGCCAAAGTTCATTTTGCAGGGCACTTGGCCTGTAGAACTGTATGAAAAGCAGCTGCAGTGAAAAAAGAATTAAGAGAGGATTTGGGGCAAAAAGAGACTGTACTCCAGGCTTTAATACAACTCTTAGGTTGTTTTTTCCTTAGTGACCTTAGTTACCATTGATCAGTTTTTAAAATCTCTGTTTTAATTTTAGAATCAAAATTCCTAATTTCTGCATCCTGGTTCTTACTATAAAGAACTTTTGTCTCCTTTTGAAAAATACTAGAGAGAAGTTGGTATCTTCTTATAAGTTGCTGAATACCTGGTCGATATAATCTGAAGAGCAGCGTTGGAGTGGGTACGCATGTTTGCTCTGGAGGATTGTTGCCCGACAGCACTGAATGTACTGTCCAGGTCTCCAGCATGTCTCGTTAGAGATATCTGAAGTTAGATAACTAGCACAAACTGTAAACTTGTTATACGCTGCAATCACTTTAAATCTGTGTGAGATGAATCCCAACATAATTTAGGCTGAGGTTTGTTTGATACATGCTTTGAAGTATTAGGGCTTAACCAAGTTACTGCCTTGTTCACAAGGGAACTTTTTTTTTCAATAAAAGAGCATGAAGATTATTTTGTGGGTTCTGTTTTTCTGTTTTTAAAATGTTTACTTGTATGCTATGTGTCTTATATGACTAAAATAAACCTATGCATTACAGGCCTAAGTAAAAGGTTGATGAGATAGGTAATACATGGCTTTAAGTTTGGCCTCTCTCTCTTTTCTTTAGCCTGGCTGTCCATCCTGATAGGATCACTATAGCAACAGGTCAAGTTGCAGGGACATCCAAGGATGGAAAAGTGAGTGACTGCTTTGTCAACGTATAATTGCTTGTATTGCACAAGAATATGCTATCAAGAAGATACGTGCTATCTTCTTTTCGTGTTGTAGTTTAACTGGTCTTAGGTGAATGCAAGCAAAACTTGATTTTAGAGTGCCTGTTACACACTGTCAAATCTACCCAGTTCTGTTATCAGGGTCCATCAGTGGTTTCTGGTTCCATTACTTACACAGACTAAAGGTAAATTGGGATCTGGTTTCCAAAAGAAATGGGCAAAGATGAGGCTACAGAGGAGACCTGAGTGGGCAGGTGGATATGGGGAAAAGGAGAAGCAGTGGAGATTAAATTGTACACTATACAACTTCAATTCTGACCACAGCTACCAAAACCAAAGGACAAATAAGAATGGCTTTGGGTTGTTTGCTGAAAAAATAAATTCTTGCTCTTGCCATCATCTAGGCAAGAATATTTTTCTCTTTCTGATTAACGGTATTATCGTAAAGCTTAGCTGTAGGCTAGGAGTTTATTTGAACAGAGTAAGGTGAGCATTTCTCCAAAGAGCTAAGACAAGTGAGAAAGAATGGGTGCAAACAGAGGCAGGAAAGGCATGAGGAAAAAGTCACTCAGCAGAGTATGAAACTGATGTCACAGACAAACTATTGCAAAATTTTTTGTAGTTGTGAAAAGAGAATCTTAGGATAAAACCAGGTTATCAATATGCTAACTGCTTTAAGTAAATGAGGAAAACAAAATCCTAGTTATGCAATATCAGGTTTATGTAAAGATAACTTAGTTAGGTAACATAAACTATTAATTTTTATTGTGTGTTGGAGAAATCTCTGGTATTTATTTTTTTAACTCAATAAATACAATTCCTTAGCATTGTATTTCTGAAATTGTGTCTGAAGGTCTGATGTCTATGCTTGAGGGGAAAATGGTATATAGGTAAGCTTATATAGAAGCTATGTATATAACTGAGATACTGAAGTGGCCTTATTTTATTAATTTATTTCTTTTTAAGGGCAATTTCACTGCTTATTAGCAAGAAAGACTGATGGCTGTGGCTTTTTTTTTTCTCATATTGTAATAAAACATATTCACTTTATTTGAAAGGGCAACGAAAAAAAGGAAATAAAAATGGCCCTTTTTGTTTTCCTGCAAAGGTTGATGATACTGTGTTAAGGTCCTAACTGTTTCTAAAAGAAAACTTCATCACAAGTACTTCCTGGGGTTGCCCTCTAGTGGATTTCATAAGCATTTCTGTCTCCACGAGGTTGAGCCTGCGTGGGACTTTGTGTGGTGCAGAAGTCACAGAGGGGAGGGAGGGGGAACCACCTGGTTTCATAGGGAATTCATCTTGGGCCATTATGTATACCTTGGATTTTAGGTACAAAAAGAAAGTTTGTTCTGATTACAGTTGTACAATTCCATTCTATGGCCATTTTTATGACTTTAAAATTAATTACATTTTAGAAATTCTTGATTTAGAAATTATTTTACACATATTGTTTGATATTGACCAGAATTATCCCAGTTGCTGCAGTTTAAACTGATGATCTTGGACCTACCGGTAGGTCCCATGTAGCAAATTCATCACCAATTTTTGCTTAGTGAAGGGTGGCTCTGCGCGCATTAACTTCAGTGAACTAAAGAGATCAGTGAGACCTGACATGCTGTACACTATGGATAGTGAGTCCTAGATATTGGTTCTAGACATAGTAATCAGCAAATGATTTTTAGCATATTGTGCTTACATGGGTGACTCTAGAGAAGTTCCGCTATTTTCATACCTTAAATTGTATTAAATTTTTTTCAGTGCATTCTAACATTTTAAATCCTGATGGTTTTTTGCCAGCATCGCTTCACCTATTATTTCTGTGTCTATTTTACAGCAATTGCCACCACACGTGCGTGTCTGGGATTCTGTAACTCTGAACACGCTTCATGTCATCGGAATGGGGTTTTTTGACCGAGCTGTCACTTGCATTGCTTTTTCTAAATCTGTAAGTAAAGTAAATGAGTAGCCACAGAATCATAGAACATTTTGGGTTGGAAGAGACCTGAAAGATTGTCCATGGGCAGGGACACCCTCCACTAGCCCAGGTTGCTCAAAGCCTCATCCAGCCTGGCCTTGAACACCTCCAGGGATGGGGCATCCACAGCTTCTCCGGGAAACCTGTTCCAGTGCCTCACCACCCTCACTGTAAAACATTTCTTCCTAATATCTAATCTAAACTACCCTCTTTTGGCTTCAAACTGTTACCCCTCATCCTGTCACTGCACTCCCTTCTCAGGAGTGCCTCCCCATCTCTCCTGTAGGCCCTCTTCAGGTAATTCAGTGGAAATTTCCACAAGTATTTGAAATCTATTGGTGACAATATTTTATAGAAAGTAGAAAAGAGAAGAGTGAGTTGGGAGAGCTGGTTAAGAATACAAAGGTGAAAGATCAGCTTTGAAGGATAAATAAAAAGGAATAGTAAGCAAATACTCTGTAAATATCTCCCTGGAGGAAGAAATAGGTACCTAATAACAAGATCCCTCCTGGTAGATGCCATGAGAAAGCGAGTGTTCAGTGCATTTGCTTTATGCTCTGAATTCACAGAGATTAGCCTTGTTTTGAGCATCGCTTGCCATCCCGTAGCAGTACTGCTCATCTCCTTTTAGACAGCCCTCTCTTCAGGCTGCTCAGTCCTGTCTCTGTCCGACCTCTTGGGTTGCGTTGGCACTTATTTTTGTAGCTGTGTCTGAGATGTGTATTAGGGGCCTGATGCATCAGGAAAACAACCATGCATCCTTATGGGTCTTTTTTTTCCTCCAAAAAATTGTTCCATTCCCCAAGCAGGCTCACTATGTGGTAGCCCAAATTTTTGCATTGGCTCAGCTCAAGAGGCAGCAACAAGCAGCCTTGCTATGGGTGGCAGAAGGACTGATTGTCCAAAAATGGTCCAGAGGGTACCTTCCAGCTAGCTGCTATTTGGAAAAAGATCTGAAGATTGTACAGCAGTTGCCATCACTAGTGAGACCAATGTTGATCACCTCCCCTCAGTTCAGGTAGAGTCTTGTTTGGAGTTCCTCGTCCAGTCTTTAGATTCATACTTCAGAAGAATGGGTACCGAGTGGAGAACGTCTAACTAATGTTGTGCATGAAGAAAGACTGAAGGAATTAGGATCAGTAAGATACACCTCTGAAAAAAGGCACCTGTCAGGAATAAATTATTTTCTAATTTCTTATTACATTCCCTGATTTTGATCCATTATCTCTATATGAAGAGTAAAATTGTTCCCCCTTTCCATAGCAGATCTGACAAGAAGTAATTGGCTTAAATTGCAAAGAAAGAAACTCAATATAATCATCAGGAAAAACTTTCTTAACAGAACAGATGATGATGCGTAGTTTGCCCTGGGAATTTCCATCACTGAGTGTTTGGAAAGAGATACCTGCCTCATTCCTGACAAAGTCTGTTTGTCTGGAGTTCGCAAGAGTTCCTCTTCTAGATCTCTTTTTGATCCTATTTTTCAATGGTCCTATAAATTATTATATTTCATGTAGATCTGTGGGATAACTAAAAGTATAACAGTTAAAGTGTAAATATGTATAAATATTTTCACCTACACTGAAGTATTTAATTATTCTAAATGTGTGTTTATGTATTTCTAATGTTGGTTAGGGGCTATATTAGTATTTTCTATGTTTTCCCTCAGAATGGAGGAAGTAGCCTGTGCTCAGTGGATGACTCAAACGACCATGTGCTTTCTGTGTGGGACTGGCAGAAAGAAGAAAAGCTGGCAGATGTCAAGGTGTTGCAATAAGATATTTTTTACTACTTGCTTGTATGTAGATTTGGATTTCTTGTCATAAAATGTCTTTCTATACTTAACACCTTGTGCCTTTTTAACACTTTCATTTTATAAAAGGCAAAGAACACAAAAAAAGGGAATGTTGAGGTTATACCAATAGTATTTTTTTAAAAAAATTTTGCTATTGTAGTCATTCTAGAATTGATTAGAAAATTCTATGCAGCAATTATAGCAGCATGTGCAGAAGAGAAACATATTAAACTAATATGTTGTGTAGAATTTCCTATTATCTGACAGTTTTGAAGGATAACTTTTGATACTAACTTATGAAAACATAAAATCTTTTGATTTTGAAGTATTCTACCAAAGTACTCCAGTCTAAAACTAATAAATGAATATCTCAGAATTTTTCCTAAATCAGGAGTTGATGAGTTAATATAACTAGAGAACCACTTCATATTGTTTTGTTTTCTTTGAATTTTAAATTTTGATACAATGTTTTTCTTTTTTCCTTCCAAGTGCTCTAATGAAGCTGTATTTGCTGCAGATTTTCACCCTACTGATACAAATATAATAGTTACTTGTGGAAAATCACACCTTTATTTTTGGACACTAGAAGGGAATTCCCTTATTAAAAAGCAAGGATTATTTGAGGTAAAATAAATTTTTTTCCTGAATTTTATGTTTGTAATAATGGTACAGTCATACAGAAGTAAAGGTTAATAAGGGTTGAGTAAACCAAAACAACGGATCATTATTAAACTTGAAATTTTGCAGAAACTCGGGTAGTATTCATGGTATTGCACAGAGAACTTTTCCAGGGATAAAACTTCCACAATTAAGTTTTGAAATGCAATTACCATTTTGTTCCTTGCATTCTTTTTCCTGTATTCTTTATGTTATGCCCCTTCCACTTCTCTGCTCCCGCAAAGGAAAAAAAAAAAAAACACCTTACAATCTCTGTGCTTACCTCAGGTTAAAAATATTTTGCTGGAGTTTTTATATTTCATCACAGGAAAGACTTGCAAAACCCCATATACAGATACGTACACATAAGTAATTCAAATACAGATGGAGCTGTCCACTATTTGGTAAATACAATTTTCATTTGAAGGTCTTGTTTTGGTTTTGTTCTTAAATATAGACTAAGCTCTACAGCAGTTGCACGCACAGATGAGGGATGTTTGCGGTGACCGCAGATAACTCCAGCAGGGCTTAGTTAACTGCTTGTGGAGCCGTGGCTTGCACAGATAGTCAAAACAACTATTTTGCAATGTCAATTAGTATACTTTGTGTGAAATCAGGAGGACATGCTGCGATTTAAATTGTGTTGTATTTTATTTTTAATTCATTTTTAACTCCTAAGCTACTTGGGCAGATGTCTGCCCTCTGTTACGGCTCTGTCGTTCTTGACAGTTGTTTCAGATGGAAAAGTGTGGTGGCCCTAGTCAAGACTACACTGGTAGTCAACAAGCATTGTAAATAATGTCCTTAGAACCTACTAGCTAGTGAACTTTTTTGTCCCCTTGTATGTTTCACTGTTCTGTTGCCGTCAGTATCTGAAATGCAGGGTCTCAAAGCAAGGTTTCCATTACTGAACCTTACTATTCTTTCAAGAGAGGATTTCTTAATTCTTACACTACAGCGAAAGTCTCTGGTAATATTTTTCTCCTGGAAACTTTGGAGTTAAAAATTACAGTAATAAAGCTTTTTTTGCATCTTTGGCCATTTCTAAATACTTAAAGCCTTTAGGATTATGTGGGAGGTGGGGGATTTGGTTTATCTCGGAGCATTCCTGGCCTTGTGTTAAAAGTTGCCAGGCTTTCTCCCTCACTGCATCCGCAGCTTGTAATTAAAGGGTGCAGAACTGGGCCACCAACCTCAGCTGACGCATCTTTTGCCCTTGCACAGATGAACTGTTTAGACTGTAGGAATGTGTTTAACTCCTGTGCAGACATTTAAGCAATAATAGAACTGTATAAATTACTCAAATGCATCCAGTTAAAATGAATGGGTTGTGTGTTGCTGTGAGTGTATGTTTTTCGTAACCATGCAGAAACAAGAGAAGCCAAAGTTTGTCCTGTGTGTGACCTTTTCTGAAAATGGTGATACTATTACAGGAGACTCAAGCGGAAACATTTTGGTTTGGGGGAAAGGTAAGACAAGACTGAAGTTAATAGTGAAATTTTAATTTAAAGCACTCTGACTACATACGTGTAGCTTCATTTTAAGACTAATAAATTTTGTTTGTATTAGGTTCTTTGTCAAGACCAGTCCAGCAGATTATGTTCTCCTCTATGAGCACCCAAAGAACATATACCTGACTGCTAAAGCACAAAATTCTATAGAATGTGTTCCCTGTGGTTGAATGTTGGATCATAGACCTATGCCAGCACATATGGCTTTACTGACATAAGGAATGGCAGGAAAAGTTCTTTCCCTTAATCAATGTGACAGTAAGAAACACTGTTAATGTACTTGATGATCTCCAGTCTCCTATACTGCCACTCTGTTGTGTTTGCAAAAATTATGCCTATTGACATACACTTTTAATAAGACAATAAATAGCTTTATTTGTTTTCCTAGTAAGTCAAGCTAAAATATATGCAGATCTAATTGAATTCCTCAGCTTTATTTCAAAAGAACAGATGGATAGGACAAACTTGAAAGCATTTTCTAGTAAGAAAAGGCCTTTTTTTTTTTTTAGGCAGCAGAAGGCAATGCCTGACAGAAGGCAAACAGCAGTAACATCCTAAACGTTTAGTTAGTGTGTGAGATGCCATGTATAGGAGGAAGGGGAATCCCCTGAAGGAGGCCTTATTAGTAAAGAAAGAAGGGATGTGGATGATAACTGCTTCTTATTTACTCGGTGCCTCCTCCCAAGATACTCGAAGGATATGAGACCTGGGAAGCAACATGGTGAATTGCTTACACAGTTGAGCTTTACTGAGCTGTTTTTGTAGTCTTTTTTCATTGAAGGACTGTCAGCCAGTTATCTCCTTGTGCTTTTGACCAGTACACTGCTGCTGAGAAAAGGGGTGGTTATGGTGTTTGTAACTCAGCTCTTTTTCTATTCCTCTTTTCTTTTTCCTATGACAGCTTAAAGCAAGACACTTGAACATTTTTCCTTTGAAGTGGAATTTAAAAATTGCATAGTCTCATCTCCTCCTTGTTCGTGGTTGTTATTTTGGACTGCCAACAGGGGAGATAGTGGCAGCTCTGGCACGGCTCAGGGGCCGATTTGCCTTCATGCCAGTAGACCAATCTCTGCCTTGACTGCAAGCAGCCCCTTCTGCCCTTTCTGCCAGGAATGAAAGGGAGTTCTTTGTGTGCTGCAAGATCTCCTCACCTCTGCTGGTTCTTTTGGGACAGACAAAAATGTTGTTCTTGTTTTTCTGTCTTTGTACAGTGTACTTTCTATGCCTTTACTACTTTTGACTCAGAGCTCTGTGTTCAAGCAAGGGCTGCTTCCACCAGGTCAGAGTACCCTGAGCAAAAACTTCTCTTAATTAAAATCGCTTGTAACTAACACATTATATCGATAGATGTGGGTAGAAACAAATGGGATTTATAAAGGAAAAAACAGTTCTTTCTTCCTAACTTGCATCAGCCCCTCACTTGTGCTAAACATGAAGTTAGCCAAGCTTTGGTGCAAGGTGCACCTTTCAGTAATAGAATCACTAGCCATCGTTTCTTTATACTTTGTCATAGTAATGGACCATCAATTTAGAGATATTTAATCTAATGTAGTTGGTTAGAAGGTGTTTTGAGTCTAAGAAGGCACTTGAACAAGCCAAGTTCATCAGTAAAGAGGTGCAGGGAGTGATTCGGCATCTTCTGCCAGTTGAGCAAAGACCTCTAGCTTAGTCAGATTTTGGTGCAAGTTAGGTGTCTGGAGGCTGTGGAGTATCCTTGGAGGGAAAGAAGTGACCGGGTTATGGTTTCTTTGTTGATAAGGCATGTAGTGCTACTGAAGGTCAAATGTGATGCCAAACAGTTTATTCTGAACCCTCATGAAAGGTTTAAATGAACCTATTTTATGTTGTGTTTGCAGTAGACTGAGTGAATATGTGTACTTTTCATTTTTGAGATGGGGGTGAATATGTTCCTAAGATGTTCCTATTTCAGTCTCTTTCTGGTGCAACACTCCATTCCCATCACTGTTTAGATATCATCTTTGACAGGTAGTAGATAAATGGAGGAAAAAAACAAGAGGGGAGAAAGGAGCAAGTAAGTGAGTATTTCAGTAGTAATGTCTTTTCTCCTTGTATCCAGGTACCAACAGAATAAGTCATGCAGTTCAAGGGGCACATGAAGGCGGAATATTTGCGCTGTGTATGCTACGAGATGGCACATTAGTATCAGGAGGTGGGAAAGACCGAAAGCTGATATCTTGGAATGGAAATTACCAAAAACTTCACAAAACTGAGGTGATATCACCTATCTTTAAATTGCTCTGCTACTCAAAATGAAATTTTAGCTGTCTTCTGAACAAAGGTTTTTAAATAATTTTTTTTGTCTTATGTGTATTCTTTGAGAAAGCAAGCCAATAATAAAATGTAATATCGTTTGAGTCATCAGGTCATTCCTGTGATAGCCTATTAATTAAAATAATATTTCCTTTTTAAGACCTAGGGTAACTGGTAAGCAAATTTCACTTTCTTACTTTTTCATATTATTTCTTCCTTTGTTTAATCATGTGAGGTAATTTTTTACTTCAGAGTGTTACAGTATTTTTTAAAAGAATTGCTAAAGTGAATTCAGTAGCTTTGTGGGAAGCTAAAAGATTAAAGCAGAATTTTTTGGGACAGAATTACATGACTGTTTACAAACTGAATGAAAGAGAACAATCAGCATAATACTCCAAGGAAGAGAATCACAGAATGTTAGAGATTGGAAGGGACCTCGAAAGATCATCTAGTCCAATCCCCCTGCCGGAGCAGGACACCTAGATCAGATCACACAGGAACGCATCCAGGCGGGCTTTGAATGTCTCCAGAGAAGGAGACTCCACAACCTCTCTGGGCAGCCTGTTCCAGTGCTCTGTCACCCTCACTGTAAAGAAGTTTTTCCTCATACTCAAGCGGAACCTCCTATGTTCCAGCTTGAACCCATTGCCCCTTGTCCTATCACTAGATGTCACAGAGAAGAGCCTGGCTCCATCCTCCTGACACTCACCCTTCACGTATTTATAAACATTAATTAGGTCACCCCTCAGTCTCCTCTTTTCCAGGCTAAAGAGACCTTTACTCTACTACATATTATTAAATGTTGCAAATATATATGCAACTGGAATGGCATGTCTGTTTTGGTAGTTCAGTTTTTAACACAGCACAAGGTACGTGCTTGTTTTTAACCGTGGCATCCTTCTTTTTCTCTTATTTGTTCATACAGTGGTGTTCGTTGTTATTTTAAATTTTACATATTCCCATGAACTTTATGTTGGATATTTGGAGAGTCTTTCAGAATCTAGGCCACAATTAAAGAAAAGTACATTGCAAGAGGGTACTAGGGATACAAAGCCTGACACTATCTCAGAGTAGAAATGCGTAGTCTGATATCACAGCTGCAATTAAATTATGATAGAGTTAAGACAGCATGAAGGAACCTTTTCTGTTTGTTGAAATGCTTGGTTTATCTGTACAAACAGAGTGTTCCGTAGATAAGGATCTTTTCTTGTAGTGTTATAAAGACATTTGCTGTGCTGATGTAAATTGTTAAGCTTTTGAAATCAGGCATATGTATTCATCTATTTAATTTCTTCTCTGTGCAACACTTACTAAAATGCATTTGCTAGGCCATAGGTCTTTAAAAATAGCAACACTTGATGAAATTGTCTGACTTGCCTATCTGTTTGTCTGTTGTGACCACAGATTCCAGAGCAGTTTGGTCCAATAAGAACAGTAGCAGAGGGAAAAGGGGACGTTGTGTTAATAGGAACCACTAGAAACTTCGTCCTACAGGGCACGCTATCAGGAGATTTTTTCCCAATTACGCAGGTAAGCTGTTGCCTTACAAGTACATTTCTAAGTGTGTAATAGCAGTAAAGGTATTCCTTTAAAGTTAAGTTTCATAAATATACATCTATTTGATTTGTTATTACACTACTTTTGGCAATAAATAAAATTATAAATTTGCATCTATCTAAACCAAAATTTAGTAATTTTTTAATATATGGTTTGGTCATTTTAATCCTGTTTAAACATGTTTAGTTTTGATGGTACTGTCCTTGTCAAGAAACGTTTCTGCTTGTGTAGGGTCACACTGATGAGCTTTGGGGACTTGCAGTCCATTCCTCTAAACCTCAGTTCTTCACTTGTGGACATGACAAACACATTACCCTCTGGGATGCTACCACTCATCGTCCTATCTGGAACAAGAATGTAGAGGTATAAATTTATTAAACACAAGTCTACTCCTGTTAAAGAACCTCTCAAGTAATTTGGGTTTTTCATAAGATTATTGATTAAAAATATCTTAAAGTATTAACCTGAGGGAAAAAAAAAAAAAAAAGAGTCCTAAAATGTCTTTCTGAAAATGGCCGTAAAACTCTCAAAACCAAGAATTTGAAATCCTCGGTTATAAGAATCTGTGTGCTGTATCATAGAGAAGTGTACAGTGCTGTTGACATTTATATTTTTTTACTAGGAAGAAAACCACAAATATGAAGCTAGGAAATATTTATCATTTAGAAGTAGTTTGGATCAGGATTACTACTACTACTACTGTCCTGAGCATGATAGTCAAAATTCATAAGGAAAAATTTTTTTGTGCCATTTTTGGACTTCTTCATTTATTTTCTGTAATTTATTACTATTTTTATACATCCTGTTCACAAATAAACAAAAGTTTTAGAATTTCACTTCCTATCTCTGGTATGAAACTTGGTGTTTAGGCACTGAAGGAATACTTAGTGGAGGTTCAGTTTTGTGCTGTGTTTAGGCACTCTGTTGTGCATCTGCAGACTCCTAATGGCGTTGTGGTAACGTGTGACCTTGATTCCCACATGCATCACTAGGAACTGATTTTTTTTTAGCATACATTTTTTGACACCTGATCACTTTTCTAAAGATTTACCCATTAAAAGACATTGGCTTATCTCCTAGAGTCAGCAGTGATGCTTTTATCTTTCTCTTCTGAGATGCCACTATCACATTTTTTCCAAACAGTCTTCTCTTTACATTTTTTCAGTAGGTGTGAGAATATGCTTTTTTGGCGATACATGTACTGATCACAATAAAGGAGTTACTTCTCAGTCTTTCTTATCCGCTCTCTGTATAGTAGAAGACTTGAAAAATTACTTCAGGAAAAAGGAAACAGCACCTGGTATAAATATATATCCAATACACAGGTTTGCAGATCAAATTGTAGCCAGTAACTTATAGGTGACCCTCATGTTGCTGACAGAAGTGCTTTCTGTGTCATATAGTAAATAATCCTGATTAATTTACATGAAGTTTTAAAAATCTTAATTATGCCACTCTTTTAATAAAAAGATTGTTCATTTTCAGGCCTACATTAACACTTTAAGTTAAAGCTGGTATTGATAAAACTTATTGAATACAATGCATCTGCACTAATTGTGTGCAGTGGCTTCAGGCTGAAGCAGTTCTAACAGAATATTGTTTGACAAACTGTCTTGCAGTATCCTGCTCTGGTTATGTGCGCTTGTTAAATCATGCTGGCTTGATGAATGTGGTAATTGGAAGTTATTTTGTCTAACCAAGGTCATATGTTCTAAGATCCATATTTTGGTTGACATATGAAGCTTCTAAATTAATTGGAGAGACCACATCACCAGTTACTGCTCCAGAGGTGGAGCCGTATTTTCACAGTTCAGTGCCTGGGTTATAGAGGCACTGTGCCTCTATAGATTGGTCTGTAGTATATGAACTTAAAAGATAATAAAAGTAGTTCTTTTAATGTAGATGGAAAAAGATGGAAATCAACAATACTAAGAGTTTGGCCTGAGAGGCAGGCAGATAATTGTATTTTCCTACCTCTTGATCATTTTAGGGTTTAAGATATCTTAATATGATTTGGATTTAAAAATAAGCTATCTCCCCTTCAGTCTTTAGGAATACTGTAGTTGAGCCTTACAGGAGGGGTCAAATCCAGAGACATACCAAAATATTAATGCGCTTGAAAATCTCTTGAGCTGCTACCAAGATGCCAAATGCAAGATAAAAGAAATACCAGCACACTTAGGCTACGGCCTTCAGAGATTAAATGTATTTTTAAAAATCAGTGATCAGTTATAAACCAAATTTTCCAGGGTCTGTCTTAGCAGACTCTCTTTAAAAAGATAAACCAGTGCTCTTTTTTGTTGTGAAATACAGCAATAGCAGTGTACAGTATTGTACTATATGGAATATGAACACATTCGATTGCAGCAATTCCTTCACATGCAATTCAGAGTGACTCAAACTGTGACGTGACTGGAAACTTTTACAGAGACCTTTCTGGTCACTTTCTTAGTTTTTTTGTGGAAACTTAATTTGATGATTTAGAAATGGTGCATGGCTGGTTTTGTGCGAGTCTTTTTTGTAAATATCCTGAAGTGGAAAGTAAAATATTTGGTACAATTTTTTTATGCTTTCCTAATAAATTTCCTTTTTGTCAAAAAGAAAAAAATCATCATGTAATTCAATTGCAGGTACTAATGTGATCCTTCACTCTGCTCAGTGTAAGGGTGTATGTTTTTGTATAGTTGCATACACTGTCAAAAAGGCTGGGAGAATAAAAAGTTAGTACTTCTGATACATTTTCATTACGGGAACGTTATACTGAGGAAGGCCTATAGTCATGAAGATAAGTGCATAATTTGGCACTTTGCTCTCTTGCAGTCTAGAGAAGAGAGCATTTAGAAGTTTGGGTTGATAGTGAAACATTAGTGGAGATAATTACAATATGGGGAACAGGACCAAATCTATTAACCAGATCAGCTGCTATCTCAGAAATAAAGCTACTTAAGTAATCATCAATTAAAAAAAGGAAATAATTTCCACTGTTTTATTCTTTGTGTCCTCTGAGAAACAGAACCGGAGTTAGCTGATTATGATGTACAGTGAATTTCAATTAATATTTAGCTGTGTTTTTGCAAATGTAGGGCACTCCCTAAGGAACTGTTGTTATTGAAATGTTTAAGAAACTGCTTGGTTTACCTTGATTCTTATGAAAAAGTTGATTGCAACAGCAGTAAGACTATTAAACTAGACTTAATTTTTTCCCCTCCAAGTACACACTGCTTCATTAAGACAAGATTTCTATTATCAGTCTTGACAATAATCTCCTTATTAGCCGATTGAAAAGTCTGAGACGGTTTCATAAATCAGCGGCTGATTATCTAGAGTAAATAAATCATTTCATGTTAACATATTTTCATCATAGAGATCTATGTAAAAGCTTTTTAATGTAGTTATGAGTACAAGTTACTAAGATTAAATTCAGTGTTTGAATATCTGGTTTATTCAAGATAATATTTTAGCATTTACTTTAAAATTATACTTAAAGAAATTAGCAAATTTTCTTTTCTGGACTACTGTAGTGGTTTAGAACACAGGTATAGAAATCCTGCATCTCACCAGTTCTCTGAAATTCCTGCAGAGTTAGTAACATATTTGAAATTAGTCACTTGTTTAAAATTAATGAGAATATCCCTTACACATAGCCTGTAGGGCTAGTAATTACAAATTGTTAAAAATGTGAACAGGTTTACTAAAATGGCTACAATGTGATACTGTTTTAGAATATAGAAAATCAAGGACATAAGCATTTCTGTGAGATATGTTGCTGGATTTTTTTTTTTTGACATTTTCAAATTCTTTTTGTCAGGCATCAGAAAAAATAAGCTATTTATTTTGTGAGTTTCTGATATGTTTAAATTGCAAGAAAAACACCACATTTCTTACCTGTCTCTATAATAATATACTATACAAAGTAAAATGTTTTAAAATTATATATCAAAATAAGAAACCAAATTTATGCCCTTTATCTCCCACTAAGCTGCAGCTGGCAGGAGCTGAAAAAGGTGCTGGTGTGTGCAGAAGTTAGGCTTTAACCCTGCATGCAAAGTGATACATACCTTTGTTGAATAAGGTACTTCCTTGTCCTTTAGACAGTAGGTAAACTGCAGCTTTGATATTTATTTCTTAGCTCAGCTCTAATTTAATAAGTTATTTTTATCTCTTGCTTGTTTGTGATTTGTTGAGAAGCTGCCTTTGCCAATGTTATTGTTATGAAATCACTTGCCAAGTTATTTTTAGATAGTGAAGAAAAGAAAACAGTGGCCTTGTATAGAGGGGAAAAAAATCTAATGGATAATATTTCAATCAGTTAAAAATGTTTGTGTTACCAAAAAAACACCAAAAAAAAACCACCAAACAAACAAATAAAAAAACCAAACAAAAAAAACCCAACCCAAAAAACAAGAGAGACTTACTCTGTTCCTGAGACAGATAATTGAACTGTGTTTTTGCTATAACTTGGACTGGTAAAGAAGTGTCCTTCTGTCTGAAACATTTTAGGATCCAGCACAGTCTTCAGGCTTTCATCCTTCAGCATCTGTTGTTGCAGTGGGGACGCTGACCGGCAGGTAAGATGCACAGAGCTACACCTTGGGCACCTTCGAACACTACAGGATTTTTCCAGCTCATGTCCAAGTTCATGTTCTTGTTCTGCAAATGTATGCATGACCTGTTCATCCCCTGCTGATTTCTATTGAATTTTAGAGTGACATTTATTTGTGTTGCCTTAGTACCTAGTCTTGGACGAGTACCGTGTGTTTGCTGAGTGTTCCATGAGCACAGAATGAAGGGATGGTTTCTGCCCTGGGAGGAAGCCTAGGTTAGCAGTGACAGCATACGTGAGAGGTGCTGTCACCATACCAGTGACCTAAATGTTAAAACTTTGTGTCCATCATGGCAAAGGAGAGCCTAAAGGAGGAGTCTGAAGTAATAAGTTAACTTTGCAGATGCATACAGAGATCTCTGTGGCCTGTAGGGCAATGTAGAGGAAATCGCATAGAAGAAGGTTGCTCATTCAAAAATTCAATGAGTGGTTTATTATCTCTAATGCAGTCACATCCAGAAGCTGTAACAAAATTTTGGCAAATGTCCCACTGTGCTACGTCTAGTGTAAAAATTGAATATTGAGAGACTTGTTCTGCCTGAAGAGTGTAAAGCATAAGCACAAGAGACAAAACCAGGGTGAAAAGTAGTATCTCCATCTCATAGGGCAGATTGAGCCCTTCATCACGTAGTGGGTCAACAGCAGACCCTGGGTTTAACTTTGGTCATCTGTCATAGCAGAGTGCCTTCACCGTAGCTTCATCCTCTTTTAATGTCACTTGAGGGCAGACTTTGCCGTTAGTACTGAAAACAGTTGCACTTAACTGAGAACATATAGAATGCTCACAGGTTATGAGCCAAGATCATTTAGGCTTGTATATCAAACCTAAGTAAATTATTTACTTTATTTACTAGATTTAGTTTATTTACTAAATAAAGTAAATCAAAAGAAGCAGCTTCGAGAGGCATCTTTGTCTTTCATAATTTGATGCAAGTATAGAAATGCAAATTTTATCTTTACCCTTTCTGTATGTTTCCACAAAGTAAATTTTTGTTCACTAAAATTAATTAATTAATTCAAATCAAGTAAAAAATTAATAATAAGCTTTAAAATAAATTAATAAATAAAGCTAATCCTTCTATCAAAAGAGAATGGTTCTGATTTGTGTTTGTGTTTTCCTTTGCTAAATGGTACAGTGTAAGCATCGATTTAAACATCAGCATAGCATAGAGAAGTACTAAAGAAGGGTCTTGATATGTAATGCTTACTTTATTCTAATGCCTGATGTACTAAAACAGACTAAGATCTGAAGATTAATATCAGGGTCAATGTCTCATAATTTTTCTGTTTAAAAATCATAGGAAATAAACTATCCTTCTGTTAAAGTAAAAATAAACCAAACCAGTAGCAGTTGCTGGTTTTTTTTCTGGTGGTATAAAACTTATGCTATTTTGACAGAAGAAAAGTTGGTCAAGATTACAGTAGATTTAACTTCCTTGTGGAATGATTTATTGGCCTCTTTCTGTATTTACAACAGGTGGTTTGTGTTTGACACAGAAACAAAAGACTTGGTCACTGTACACACAGATGGAAACGAACAGCTGTCTGTAATGCGTTACTCACCAGGTTTGAGAGCGTTTAGTTACTGGTTTTAAAAAAAGTGTTGAATTTTTTTAATAAAATTTGGGGTCAGTTTGTTTTAAAATAACTCCCCACTTGCCATATCAAAGTTGGAAATAAATATGCTGTGAAACTTTGCCAACACTGAATGGGTGGTGTCTTGAGCTCTAGTTTTCTTTTCCCTCCCTCCCTCTCCAACATGTTGAATATGATTTCACTGGGAAGAAAAAAAAACCAAAAAATATGATTTCACTGTGCAGGTTGTTGCACTCAGGGTAGCCCTAAATGGACTGTAGCTGCTTCCAGAAGTGTCATGTGTTTTGAACAGTAATATTTGCTGTACAAACTTGTTGTTTTGTAATCTTGAAACATGCATCAACATACAACTGAAAAAGCAAAAATAGATTTTTTTTTTTTCATTTTTCAGTATCAGAGCCTTTACGAACAGTTCCTCTTATCTGTGCCAAACTTTTCTAAATTACCCTAACTTCTTTCTTAAAGGAGTAATTACAGTTCACTTTTGTGTTTATAGATGGAAACTTCTTGGCAATAGGTTCCCATGACAACTGTATTTATATATATGGCGTAAGTGAAAATGGAAGAAAGTACACTAGAATTGGCAAATGTTCAGTAAGTAACCTTTTTTTCTCCTAGTTCAATATTAACAACTTAAGTATGTTTTGTAGCACTGTATTAATACTTTCACATTGAGAGATCGTGTTAGTGCCGTTAATACAGTATTTTTCTCTTTGTAGGGTCATTCCAGCTTCATTACTCATCTGGATTGGTCTGTTAATTCACAATATCTTGTGTCTAATTCAGGAGACTATGAAATCTTATACTGTGAGTAAGAATTATATTTAGTCCTTTTGTGCAAAGTACAGGCAGTCTAATACAGATTTAAAATGTAAATGAGACCATATAACTGCCAAGAGAGACCATATGTTTTAATTCATCCAATGCAATCAAAAATCTATATAATTTGAGAAGTAAAAACTTTATCATGCGGTTGTGTTTGTTTTTTTTTTTTTTTCCTTTTGTAGGGATCCCCTCTGCTTGTAAGCAAGTCGTAAGCGTCGAAACAACTAGAGATATAGAATGGGCCACTTACACCTGTACTTTAGGATTCCATGTTTTCGGTAAGTATCTTTTCTCTTACAAGTTCTTACCATTCTTTTCATTAACAAACACTTGGATTGCCAATTTTTTCTTATGAAACATGACTATTCATATTTCAGGGAAAAATACAGAACTTCTGTTATGCCATTTTAATTACAATCTGTCCTCTTATTTCAATCCAGAAAGACTCTGATTTAATATTCTTACTAGCTTCAAGTATAAATATTAAATTACAGCATAAGTGGGAGACGAGAAAAAAATCACATGCTGCCCTTTCTGTCACACTAGAGCTGCTTCTTGTCTCTTTAAATTTAAAGTACCAGTTCTATGGAATTATTGTTTATTTAGGCAGCTGCTGGCCCAAATCCTCTTACCAGAACCAGTTTCAATTGCACTAGTTACTGCAAACACAAAAGGGGTGACAGTATCTGTCATTAAGTGCTTACAATGTGTTTTGATACAACATGTAGCAATTAAATGAGGTGAAAGGAAAGCAAGAAGAAAGAAGAAAAACATAACAAAATAAGGATGGTTTGTTTCCATGGGACTTCTCTTCTGCCAGTTTTGAAGGAGCTGCTTTCCCCAGTGTATTCTGAAGCTTTGTATTTATTCCAGAACGTGTGTAGAACTAAACAAATAGTTTCAAAAGCTGAGTAGAAGAAGCTTCAAATTCTGAAGTCCTGAAGACAAAATAGGAAGCCATGGAAGAAGTTCAGAGAAAAGTCTGGTAAAGTGTAAGCAGTAAGCCAGGAAGATTTTCACCCATGTTTCGAGTAGAGTAGATGCAGTGATGTGTTTGAAAACAGCCAGAAAGGACATGTTTTTAGAGCCTAGAAGATGAGATGGCAGCAGCAACATGCTGGGAAGAAAATTCAAATTTTCTAGAATTTAACTGACAAGCAGTGCTTGAGTATCACTACAACATGCAGATTTAGTAAAAGGAGGAAGTCCTAGAAGACTGGCTGCATGTTAACTTAATATGTTTCTCATATGATGGATGAAGGCACTTATGGAACTGTTAGCATATTGCTGGGGCTTGAGTATAACTGACACAATGCTACAGAGCCACAAAGTCTTTGCTTTTAGCATCAAAGGTTCAGATATTCTGAAATGATGAATTCTTTAAGTGAGTTTTCCTTACTTTATAATTTGGATTAATGCAAAATATAGTGCTATTAGAATATGGGGCTGCTTGTGGTGCATAAAGAGTTGTAAGAGAGGGATGTTGCACCCAAGAGGGGTTTTTTCTCCCTTGCAGCAGATCAGCTTTTGGAGCAGGTCTGTGGAACAAAATGATCTACTGGGCCAGTGGGGAATGTGTGGAAACATCATATACATTTTCACACTTACAGTCCTCCATGCTGAACTCATCTATTATAACATAAAACAACAAGAATGAGGAATAAATAAAAGTAGTTGCTAGTTTTAATAATTATCACAATTATTATTTTAGTAAGGCAGTAGAGATTGTGAGGATGTTCATCAAAGGAATGGTATTTTAACGTAAAAGAATGTAATTTATTCAGAAAGGACATGTAATGGCAAAGTGGTGGAACTTTTTTGTGTACAGAATATGGTGCCTGAGGATTTGTAGCTATACAGTTCACTTCAGACTGGGAAGTTACAAAGATAATTCATAATAATTACAGATTAAAAAAAGAATATTAATGGTGGCAGATTTATATTGTTGCCCATTCTTCCAGAAAGATCAAATGAATGGATTTTTCTTTTTAGTAGGTAGCAGAATCAGTCAATTCACAGGAATTTCTGAGGATGTGAGATTTTAAATATACCAGTGTCTTTTAGGAAAGGAATTGCAAGTACACAGCAAGTTCTCAAAATTCTTCTGATAGAGGAAATAGATAAGCACCTAGGGAGAGTTCCTTCCAGATTTGATTCTGGGGAGTTGGAGAGAACCTACTGAGAATATGAATGCACCTGGTGTAGGAATGACTGTGAAATCAGGGTGCTGTGATACCTAGTATAGAAAGGAAAAAGAGCAATGAAATTAAAATAATGGACTTCAGGGAGGGAAACTGCAAAAATCCAAAGCTTTGTTAGGGAAGATCTGAAGTTGGAGAAGAGGTGAGATGTGGTAGTTCCTTACATGGTAGGAAGGGCACAAACCCTGCCAGCCAAGGGGAGAGACAGGAATGGCAGCAGGACACAAGTTTGGTTAAACTGTTGTTGACCTCTCCTACAAGGAAGAGGAATGCAGAAGGTAGAAACTGTTGGAGGAGCAAGGAGACACAAACAAAGCCTAAACATAAATGCACACTTGTGACAAGTATAGAAATAAAAGAAGGGCTAATGACAATACTGGTCTGCTATGTAGGGAGGAGGGAGACATGACACTGCTAAGGCTGAAGTGTTAAAAAAAGTGACACTTTTTTTCTTTTTTCATATGTCTTTATTAGAAGAGGTACTACAATCTGATGGCTAACCGAGGTAGTGCCAGTAAAGAAAGGATAAGACCTCTGCTTTCAGTAGGGAAGGAGTAGATTACAAAATAGTTAGATATTTTCAAAGTATCTGAGTATGAGGAACCTTGTATCTCTAAAAACAATCAGTTAGCATAATCTCAAGACCGTTAGTGTTTATTTTCAGGACCTTACAGAGAAAAGTATTGGAAAAACGGAGAAGAATGAATGGAATATCTTTCGAATCATATATTTACCTTCAGAGCTCATATGGAGAGGATAAGTGCAAAGTTAGTGGCTAGAATAATAAATTGAAGAAGCTCATGAATTACCAGACTGGTTTTCAATTTATAATGTTGGAAGTCACTCTGCTATTCAGTACTTTGGGACCTCAGAGCAGCCAGTCTGAACAGTCTTTAAATGCTTGCTGACATTGTCCCACTGGACATGGAAGGAACAATCACATCATCAAGGACGTAAGGCATCTAGTATATTGATTTTTCAGTAGCTACTGGCTGACTGAAACTTGGGATACTTTCTCACTCTAGTAGAACCACATAAAAATCACAAACAGTGTGCAGAGCACTTGCAGAGCAACAGAACACAACGCAGGGAGGAAAATGAGCATTGATCTGGTGAACACCTGTCTTCAACCAGGGGAACAAACAGATTAGTCAGCCTGGAAATGTTTAGAGATGGTTCAACTACAAATCAACACCATGTAAAGAAGGGTGTTCAGTGGAGGATATTTGAGTGATGGAAACACATGGAAATGTGAAGGACTAAAGACCATAAAACCCTTAATGACCTGTACACTCTTGGAAGACCCATGTGCTGCTGGATACACAACTAAGGCATCAGTGCATATCACATGCCCAGTTTTGGAAAAGTTAGAATTTGTGGTGAAGGATGGGAACAGAAGAAATGTAAGATGCTGTGCAAAGCCTGGCAACACTACAAGCAAAGCAGAGCTGACACTGGTTGGGTTCAAAACTGACTAGAAGGCTGTACACTGAATATTATGTTTGTTTGAATATATTAATAGCCTGGATGATAAAACTGTGTATAATTTCTAGGTGGCATGAAGGTACAGGATTAGCAAATTGTCTTCAGAAATAGAATGGTATGAAAAAGGGAGGCAATTTGATAGTGACAAACAGGTTACACACTTGAACAGCAGAACCCAGTTGTGTGAATACAGAACGGAGGAGAGCAGGCAAGAGAGCAGATCTGCACAGAAAGATCAGATTGCTCCTGCATACAAACTGAACGTGAATCAACAGCATTATGTGATTGGGGAAAAGGCAGATGCATTAGTGGGATGTGTAATGAAAAGGATGCCATGCAAAATGTGAAGTAATTGTCCATTTATCAGTATCTGCTTCAGTCACAGCTGGAATAGCTGCTTCTGGTTTTTGCACGTTGGACCAACAGATAATGTGCTGACTAGCAAGAATAATTATCCATCTAAATATTGTTCTATGAGAAGAGATGTAATGAATTAATTTTAGAGAACAAGAGGAGAAAGAAAGCATGGCATCCATCTTCAAATAAGAAAAAGGAAACTGTCTCTTTTGCCATGTCTGCAGAGGATGGGGAAAAAAATGGACCAATTTTTCAGCAAAGGGGATTCAGTTCACATATTGGGAAAAACTAACAGTGAGGCACTGGAATAAATTTTGAAAGAGCACGGAGTCTTGAAGAAAAACCCTGATATGATCCTTTCCCCATTTCAAAATGGCAATCTTGTTTCTTAAACCATTTCCTTCAGGGGTTATCTCCAGTTTGTCATAAAGACTCCTGTCTCTTTCTTCTCAGCTGGCATTTGATGTTCGTGCAGCCTCCTTTTTGTCAAAGCAGTTATTTAAAACAGCTTTTCTGTGTCTCTTTATTCTGTGTATTCATAATTCCACGAGGAGCAATTACCATGTTTCTTCTTTGCACCTTTCTTTTCTTTCTTCCCTGACTTTTTAGTATACCTGATGTAGCAAAGAGGTGTTTCTACACAAGTCTGGAGAGTTAGTGGCAACCCACGAATCAGTACTTGTTGTAAACAAAATGGAACACAGATTTGTAATTCCATGTAAAGACGTGGAATCACTTCCTCTCCATGCTTTTGAATTGCTGTGCAATGATACAGAGATTGTATTTGGGAAGAATTACACGTGGATCGAAGACGAGCAGTTTCTACAGTGCAGGTCGGATGCCTGCTTTGGTGTTACCAGTAGTCCAGAGAAGGAGAAGCTGGGGTGTGCCTGCCCTGCCCACAGGTGTGGGCATCCTTCCAGGAGAGGGGAAGGCAAGCAGGGGGAGTAGCAGCTCATTCATCCTGACCCATAACAACCATGAAGGAAGCGCATGCACTCGTGTAGTAGGACTTCAGGGGGGACATTACAGAGGATGAGTGATGAAGGGACAGCCATTGAAAATCATAACACCTAGACAAGTTGGGGTTTTTGCCAAATCATAATGGCATAACTCTCAGTGGTCTCTGAAAGTTAGGTATCATTTATGTTGAGTAGGCAAGTATTCAGAGGCTTTAAAGATGTGGTCCATGGATTTGGTCCTTGCATTGATTAGCCTACAGTTTAATTTTAGAACACAATTTTGTGCAAGAAGAGCAAAGAGTACATGAGGAAGGAGGAGAATTACAGTAAAACAAAAGCATTTTAAAAATTTATAGTAGGTTCAGTTTCTTTTCAAGGGATCTTTTAATGACTGAATAACATTTTAAAATATATTTCTTGTGTCATAGGTTTTAGACTTTAGCAATATGAAGAAAGTAGTTTTTTAGACTACAGTAGTATGGAGAAAGTATGTTAGCTCATACATAGATAAGCAGAAGGGAAAATAAAAGCAGTAACTTATTTTTCTACAGAACCATATGAAAATACTTTTAGACTCAGACACATGGCCATAATTCAGCAGAATTCTTTTTTCTCAGAGTAAAAAGCACTTTGCTGACTAGAGGAAATAAAGTATTTGTTTATGTGCTTGATTTCCTATTGGGATCTGCTCTTTTGCTGGTACTGAAGTATGCATACTGAGTCAGCTGCAGTTATTTTAGTTTTATCTTTTCTTCTTTTTTTTTTTTTAAATAATCCTTTATTAATATTTTAACAAAAACTTAAGCTGTCACTTTTCTTTCCATTATAAAAACCTTTAATTAGTCCCTCTGTGTTACAGGTGTATGGCCTGAAGGTTCAGATGGAACAGATATCAACGCTGTCTGTCGATCACACGGGAGAAAACTGCTGTCAACAGGGGATGATTTTGGCAAAGTACATCTCTTCTCATATCCATGTTCACAGTTTAGGGTAAGGTATTTCCAAAACATTTACTCTTGTAACTTGCATAAGTGCATTAAATGTTGTTTTCATATTAAAAAAAAAGAATGGGACTATGCATATGCCTAAGGGATTTACTTAAGGTTGATTGAAACTACAATAAAATTTAAAATTTAATTTAATATTTAATTCAGTATTAAAATACTTTAATTAAATGATGCCTTGGTTTCATTGTTATATGAATGCTATGTTGTAATGTTATATGACAGTTTATATTCTCACTAATGGTGTTTTCTAGGCTCCAAGCCACGTGTACGGTGGACATAGTAGTCATGTAACTAATGTCGATTTTCTCTGTGAAGACACCCATCTCATCTCCACAGGTGGAAAAGATACAAGTATTATGCAGTGGCGAGTCATTTAGAAGAATCATCAGTGTGAACATACACAGTTGAGTCGACCATGCACAGAACTTATGTATAAACTGTATATTTAAAAATTAACAGTATGTTTGCAGTTTAGCCTGGTCACTGTGATTTTTGTTTAAAAAATTCTTACAAACCTCAGGAAAATTAAGCCCTGTGCTGGTTACCTTACTCAGTCTAGTGATTTTTTTTTCATTGTGTCACACCTTAAGAACGATCGTTTTCTCTTCTGTTGTACAATACACAATGCAGTACAAGTTGAATATGAGAAATGTGGCTTGACAGTTTGCAATACAGTGGTATCATCAGAACGTGACTATCTTAAATGTTTTCTATAAACACTGCTAAAACAGTCACAAAAATGCCTTTCAAAGACTGTATATATGTGCTTATTTGTTTCACTATCTATACTTTGTACTGTATATCTACTTATTTAGAAAGATCTATGACAATGTCAAGGTACCGAATTGTTTCTGATGGAGGATGATGAATAGATACAAAAAGTATAATCTGAGATGTAAGATGCAAAAAGTAGTGTTCTAGACCTGAAAATGTGAATGCTGGTAAATTTGCATTCTTTTGGGAATCACACACCTTGGGTATCACCCCTGAGGAATTGTGTTCGCTTTCCAGTGAATCAGCAGGTTACGCCCCAGTTTGACCTGAGTATCTCAGCAGGGTTTACAGATGTCTATGTGGTTCAGGTATTCCATATAAGTTTGAATTAAAATCTTTCTACTTGTATATGAACAATTTCTTTTTGAAAACAAAACAAAAAAGCTTGGCCACATCCCCATTATTGGTTGATATATTTAACTAATATGTATATTAATCAGCATGATGCTATATTGTACATGTATAAGATTTTAGCAGTTCATAACAATGGTAAGGCAATCTGGCTTTACTTTTTTTATGCTTATGGATATTGTATATTTGTATTTTAAGACCAAGTAGACCAAGTCTAAAGATATCTTTTTAAGTGTACCATGAACCTGCAGAGGGTAAAGGAAGTCTTGGAAGCCTACATGAGATATTAATGTGTAACTTCTGGCCCCTGTGTTTTGTGCATGGATGGATATTTATAGTATGAAATAAGATTGTGTTTTGCAATGAAGTAATAGTGGAGGTGGTATAAAATGGTTAAGAAGGCCTTATCAATGTTGATTGTGACACAAATTGAAATGTATTGTTTACTTTGAGGAATGTATCTGAAGAATTTTAAAAGAGAGGAGTTCTAAAGTGGACTCGAAAAAGGTAATAATAAAATTTTGCTTGTAATGGACAGTAAACATTAATTCTCTGAACTCTAAAGCACTGGTTGTTTAGAGTGATTTAAATGAAATGGAATCAATAAATTTTGAAACTTTTTTTTATTACATCTCCAACCTCCTACACAGAAAGTGCAGGACACCAATAAACATGTATTAAAGTGAATTTTCAATGCGTTCTTCCTGTTTGAAGTTGAAAATATCTTTGTTTCAAAGTGAAAGACTTCTTATAGAAGAGATAGGCTCTTAATGACACACATTTGTGATTTCTCAATTAGAGCTGCATTCAAAAATATTTGGGAGTAACATCTAGATTTTGGGGTACATGTTTTCATGTGTGAGGATGACTCTGGGAATGTGATCCCTAATGCACACCTAGAGAGTGAAGCTTCAGCTTCACAGCAGGGAAGAAGGACATGCCACACGCTTTCATGTACAAACTGCCTTGGTTCTGCCTCCTATTACACATCACTTATCCCTGAGCACTCGGCTGGTGGAGGAGTCTCATTCCACTGTGCAGGGCTATGCTTGTGGCAAGAGCTCCTTACAATTGCTCTGTTAGGAACTTGTCCTCAGGCAAGACTTTTGAAGTCCAGGGTTTCAGCGTCATTTAATCTGATGTTATCTAGCACTGTTACTAAAGGAAGAGGTCTTACCCCAAGCTGCTTATTCCCAGGCCCAGGCTGTGCAGCAGCACAAGTTATTGTGGCCATAGGGAGAGTCCAGCTGGGACATGGACCCCGGTTTAAAAAAAAAAAAAAAAAAAAAAGAAAAAAAAGGCAAGCAAGCAAAGAACAGCTGCTATAAAACAGCAAATCCTTTGCCTCAGTTTCCTCACCCGGTTTAGCTGTGCAGCTGTATGAATACTTGTACTGAGCTTGTGCAGAGAAAGGAGCAATGTGGAGAAGTAGTAAATGGACACAGGAGCACTGGAACAACTTCTTTTGATGGCAATGTCAATGTCCATGTGTGGTGTGGTTTACACCCAGCCATCAGTCGAACACCATGCAGCTGCTCACTCACCCTCACCCATCCCGGGAAATGGGGGAGAGAATCGCAGGGGTAAATGTAAGGAAACTCATGGGTTGAGGTAAGAACAATTTAATAATTGAAACAAAATAAAAGTTTTAATAGTAATAATGGTAGAATGATGTGATCACAAGTGATACACAGTGAAATGCTTACTGCCTGCTGACAAAGGCTCAGCCCATTCCCAGCTGGTGATACTGGAGGAGAGAAAATTCTGAAACCATGATCCCAGAAGAGAGAGAAAGCCTCCCATCTGACCCTCATTGATATTCTGAGTATGACGTTGTATGATATGGAACATTCCATTGGCTCATTTGGATTCTTTGCTCTGGCTGTGCTCCCTCCAACTGCTTGTGCACCTGCACACTAGCAAAACTTGGGAAGTTGGAAGATCCTTGATTTCTCAGCAACAACTAAAAACATCAGTATATTATCAACATTCTTCTTATATCAAATGCCATACTGAATCCAAAATACAGCACTATTCTAGCTGCTAAAAAGAAAATTAGCTCTAACCCAGCTGAAACTAGGACACTCTGCTTGAACTCTGTGAAACAAAGGCATAATATCCCTACCCTTTCCTAGGGTTAATCCAATCCTAAGGGGTCGTAATACTCGAGTGACAGGTTCTGATCTTGTCTGAATACTTGGTCGATTATGCCACAATACCTTCTGTTTATTAATTTGTTTTGCTTTGGCAAATGAGGTGCTTTCACGTTTTCTGCTTTCGGAATTGCAGGTAATGTGTCATTACTTGCAACAGAGAAAACAGGAGCTGCAAATTGGGTTGGCTCATTCCCTTTTCATCCTTCTCCCATGGTGCTACTCCTCGAGATATAATAATGTATCTGTGATCCTCTTCTTCATTTTTAACTATTATTCCTTACAAGAAATAGATGAGGAATCCTGCAAGTTCATCCCTAGGGTTACTGATCAAAGGGGATTTTCAACAATCCCTTTCCATTTGTGCCTCTGCTGCTCCTCTGTTTCTAACTTTTGCTGTTAAATGTGTCTTTGTTCCTCTATGAAAACCTGACAAGTGTATTAGCTGAACTGGCAATGGTAGGTAATGTCTTGAGCCAAATATCCGTTTGATGACTGTTAAAATGATTCTTCTTTCTTTATCCAGGAAATTCTACACAATTTCACCATTGTTATATATAATCTTCTGCTCTCCCTACTTCCACCCTTGTTCCTCTGTTCTTGCATTTATTTGTTTTCTCAGGAGTGTCCTCTTTTTTTTTGCATTAAAAGAAAGAAAAAAAAAAAAGGAAAGAAAGGGTTATTCCTGAACTTTGTATATTTTGTTCCCTCAGCAGCACCTGGGACTCTTGCACCTGATTCCTTCATCTGATACTCTGGCTGCAGTAGTTGGCTTTTCCTCTGCTTCCATGTAGCGTAAGGCTGGCTCTCCAGTCCATGGCTGGAGATAAGGGACGGGCTTCTGCTTCTGCTCCTTCCCTCCACTGATGTTGGCTGCAGCAGGTGTAGTGTTGCTCAAAGAAGAGGCTCTTCTCTTCGTGTCTCTTGCATATTGCTGTCATCTACCAAGCATTCTGCTAGTTTCTTTCATCTTTCTCGGGTTTCAACTCCTGTTTCTTGCTTTTCTTCCCTTCCTTTCTAGCATTGCTCTTCTGTGACTTCAACTTCCAGGAGCACATCCACCTTAGCCCTTACCTGCACATTTTGCTGCCCTTAACTGCTTATAAAACCCATGGCCCCGACTACCTCTCTTGTTATTTTGGGGCCAAGTTCCTGGTTTCTTATTATATCTGTATCCATGATGCTTCTTGGACTGGAGCTTACCAATACCAGTGACTTTGCGTCTGCTTTTAGCCCCTTCCTGCCCTCCTACCTTCCTTGTATGAGTGTGCTGAGCTCCTCGTTTCTTGCTTGTCCTCTGTTCATCTGTGTGCAGCCCTGTAACGTATATCATCACAAACTTAGATTTTAAAATATTTTTAGGGTAGGGACTTTTTTCTTTCTTGTGGTAGAATGTTTAGCAATAGGATTTTGTGATCCTGCGCTCACTACAACTGAAGTAAGACTGCCACACTTGTCCAAAATGATGAGCGTGTATGTTCAGGTAACACTTCAGAGTGCTGGGATATTCAAAGTGATCAGCTACTGAAGTTGATAATATCTGTTCCCTAAGTTTTCAATTATTCAGAAAACAATATATATGCTTTCAAAAGACTTCTTCACTCTCCCTTCTCTGTGATTATAAAACAACTATAGACTCAATCTGGTTTTTAGGATCATCGCCCATTTTCAAGCCGAAGCTTTTCATTATTTTGTTTACCTCTCCTGCTTGTTTTCACACATTTATTTTACTCCTAAAGGACACTATTTGTATCATATCAAAACTACAGCCTTTTTCAACTTAATTGTATATGTGTTATATGAATTACTACCTGAAAAAAATATTTATCCATAGATACTTGTAGTAGTGCTTAGGTGCGACAAGTTGTTAAAACCTGACAGGTATGAACAATCTCCAGCAGATGAGCTCTACAAAAATTAGTCACTGTAATAAAAAAAAAAAGTGACGAAATAAATGTAAGTAAATAGTCTTTCAATACTAGTGAATTAAAAAACCTCTACGATTTCAAATTATTTTAAAAAAATCATCTCACAAAGCAAATAATTTTTGTAAAACTGATTTTTTTACTATTGTAATTAAGACAAGGTCATATTTCCTATGTGAAATGTTTGGATGAAATTTGTTCTTCGAAAGAATTAATATTAGAAGATATTATTTCCCTTCAAAATTATTCATGGGACAAGAGCTTGCAAGGGCAAACGGACCATTTTTTTGCAAGGGACGGCCATTTTTTAAATTTCTCCAGGTTCTGCTCAGAGAAGCAGGCAGTCTTGTTGTGTTTTCTCCTCCATCCTGGAACGAGGGCTGATAACAGATCACTCGATTGCATCCTCAAAAATCCTACAGATGGCAGGGAAAATGTCACTTTAATTAATAGTGAAAAGAACAGACTTATGAGAAGCCTAAACAGAAATTATTTTCTTCATTACTGGCTGGGGTTTGTAGCCGTGCAGTGTCCTGCCACTCCGGCTGCAGCGGGCTGTGCTTAGGAAGGGATGCCCCAAGCCAGAGCATCTCCTAGCCCAAAAGATGGGAGATGAGGAACCAGCTGCTGCGGGGAAGGACAGAATTGCCCCCAGATCCGTCTGCTCCTGAACGGAGGCTGCAGGATGAGTGAGTACATTAGCGGTTCACGCTCTGGCTGGGAGAGATTTATGTTTCCCCTTAGTCATGCAGTTCTGCGGCAGTTTAATTTTTCTTAATGGA